ATGATTTGTTCAGATAAATGAGTTTGGATCATGTTCACTTATCTTTTTTAAAATGCCATAAATGAACTTGGGCATTAAACTTCTTCAGAATTACAGAAATTGGACTCCAGCAGTACCTCCAATGCACCATCCAGAGTCCCCAAGCCTCATTAAGCTGCATCTAATACTTTCCAGAATGAGCTAAGTGGGATGCATCCCTCCATGGAGAGAGTGCACACTGCATTCCAACAATCTATCTCTGGGATTTGCACGTGGAGGTGGGACGCATGGAATTTTAAAGTTTGGCTTGGATACTCATGATGAAACATAAATCATTAAGTAAGCCATCACCAGGCGTGAACAAGATGGTCAACATGGTCCAATCAATGGTTTTACAGGATTACAGCTTTATTTTTCTACGCAAGAAATGGCTTTGGAATTTTGATATGTATATATGTGTATATATATATATATATACACATATATACACTAGCTGTACCTGTTGCAGCTAAGCTTGCAACCAAAGGATCCAACTTGGAATGGAGGTTGACACACAGACAGACATCTCATCTTTATCTACACTCATCTGGGAGGACTCCTGCAGTATGACTCCCTTTAGAATGACTCAGTGGGAGGACTTAGGGATTTAAAAATGTAACTTTGTTGTTTTTGCCGCAGTTTAGCTTAACCTGTTCTTTATTTTGTTCCTGCCACTTGGCTACGTACGTGCTCTGTGATGCAGGATGTCACAGCGCCACGGTCAGCCAGAGCAGCCACAAGGTGTAATTGCAGTGTGTGCTTACATATATACATACTCCTTGACACACGATACCACAGCACCACTTTGACTCAGCAGCCACCAGGTGTAACTGCAGCGAAAAATGTAAAACTGAAAATAACCCATGAACGATAGGACATACCAGAAAACAAATATGCCCATGTCACTCCCAGTGCAATGCCTTTCTGATAATGTATAAATCATGTCTCTACGTTAATTGGTTATTGAAATCCTTCTTGAAGCGCAGACAGATGTTATTTTATTAGTGTATATGTATATATAAAAGATATATATATATAGATATGTATATAAAAGATATATATATATAAAATATATATATATATAAACGCATACATTTTTTAAAATCTATTCCCAAATGCCATTTCACATCTTAATGATTGTTCAAAATGTTCTGTACAGAAAGTTGCGGTTCAAATGCCATGGGCCACAAGTTATTAAGAAGTTAGAAGCAAGAAAGCAAATAAGGTTAACATTATTTTGCAATAAATAGCAAAGGCCCTGTGGAATAGGTTACCAACACAGGCCATTGTAGTAAACAGTATAAATGATTCAGGAATACTGTATGCATTTTTGGAAAGAGAAAGGATTAAAGATTGAGAAGGGATAATATAAGATGAGATGAGGTTAAGATCAGTCAAGAAAGTGCCGAGTTTATTCGTCTTTATTGACAGTGGTTGATCTAGTAGTTTTTTCCAGTTTCTGAAAGACATAGTGGAATGGGTTCCTTGAGGTTGTACAGAGGAATCTAATCTTGTAGGTTTTATTTTCAAAAGTGGATTAACAAAAAAAGGCCATACAATTTATGTTATAAGGATTTCATACTGAATTTCACATCAATCAGCATCTAGCAGTTCGTTCATGGATTGCTTCATACCAGTTTCGTTGATTAAACATATAATCTTACTGGCTCAGGGACACACAAGAACAGCTACTGTTTTAAATATAAGGAACACTTGGTGTAAGTAACTATTTCCAGGGAACATATTTATTCAGCTGCCACTCATTATTCTCAAGGAGAACAACACCTTTCAACCTCTCAGCTATCAGTTACAACATGAAGCTGAATTCTGCCACTCCATCCATTGTGCAATTCTACATTTGAGTGCCATGCACTAGAGATCCTCAATTAAAATAATACAACTTTATAATTGTAGTCATAACAAAATCAAAGATCAACTCATGCTTCGGGAAGACAGTCATGCAGTTTAATACTACCTTTATTATTTCAGCTTGCACTCAGATTTTATAGATCTGCAGGATTTTTGTCATTGATCTGCTTGAATGCCCACACTAGGTTAAACTACATTCAGATGGTTTTAAGCCAGGTGCAATGATTTCTTCCAGTCACAAAATGTAGCTGCTCATTTTCTCAGGACCTCTGGTACAAGACGAAAACAGCCAGTGACCATTAGTCAAACAAGCATGGCAGAGTGGTCAGAACGCATTCTCCCCGTAATTCAATGAATACTACAACAATGCAACTCCTGCCCATCAAACATCCTTTGTTTTTACTCACTCAAAATGATGTTCTTTTTCTGTACAGATGGTTAATGTACACAAATATGGTTACATAGACAAATACCCAGACAGCAGGAGAGACTGGACAGGCTGGAGAGATAGACACTTAACTCTGGATCAACACTGCAGTTCCCATCTGCAAAGTCTGTGCTTAATTTTGAACAACACTTTGGAATCTACATGTGGCTTAATAGTTCAAAGATTGTACTAACCGTGATCAATACTTTGGACCATGAACCACTAGTAGAGCTCCAAAAACAGGCCAGGGATATTAATTTTAAGATAAACTTAAATTTTTATTTTGAACAGATGCAAACCATCTTACTATGCAATCCCAATGTTTTCAAGAGAGATCAGTTATTATGGTCTTCTTATTTCCTCTGATTTGTAGCAAAAAAAATCAAATGGCAAGATACTTTTATATAAGATCAAATTTGTTCCAAGACACAACCACTGAATGACACCTTTATGTTTAATCTTACAAATCAAAGTAAAAAGACCAGAGTGAGGAAAAAAAGTGCAGTAGACTTATTGCTCCAGGACCCATCTCAGTAATAAATTCATTATCCTCGCGAAGTAAATAAAGCGTTTATAGATGCTTTTAAATAGCTTCTGTGGCAGTAGTTTCCACTGATTAATCCCACTTCACGTGAATGTTTTATGCAATCTAAACCCAAACAAAGTAGGTCTTGGAATAATAGGCCGGCTTATTAACTAGCCCTATTTGTATGCATCACTTACAACCCACTCCTGATCCTCCTCTTCCACTCTGTGTTTGAGACCAACTTCTCGAGCACGATGGGCTGAGAACACCTTACTCCCTGCAGTCTTGATTTTCTTGCTTTTCTGGGACATTTTTCCTTTGTTAGCCACATACTGTGGCTCACTGAACCTCTTGTCTTTATAAAGCTGTGCCGCTGTAGCACTAGACTTTGAGAACAGTAAGAGGTTGAGTATGGAATGAAGATTTCTTATTATTGTAACTAATGTAATAGAACTTCCTTCCAATTCACGGGGTCCACAATCGACTCAAAGCCTAAAGCCAGCCTTGAAACCCCATTGCACTTCAACATTTCAAACACACGGTTCACATTAGTTACTAATTTATAGCTTTCCTTTCACATTTTAACAGAATGCATGCTGAAAATGAATCATCCCATCCACACAATCTCTGTGAATCCAATTGCCTTAAATGGAATGATAACTGCATCATTCAGAATCACCAACAGCGTCATCAAAACGCGTTGCTTTCTATGTGAATGACTTATCAATGTTGACCAACCACTGATGCATTACATTTCTTTATGGTTGTGAACATGAAAGAGCCATAAAAACAAGATCACGATACCTTATCGGGCCCTCCTACAGTGGTTGGTCAACATTGATAAGTCATTCACATAGAAAGTTTAGCACACATTCTAAAATGTATCTTTGAAGTTGCAGACAGAAATTATATTATTTTACAGTCTACAAAATACAGAAGGCTTCTATACAATGAATAAATTCTGGACAAAGATAGATTTAACTTTATGAAGCTTTGCATTTAAAGTGAAAGTAGATTTCCTCAGCCAGGAAATTTAATTGTAGGTAACTGGAGCACTCTTCTGATACTGATACAATGAGACAACTTCTGTTGTCAGATGCACTTCACATTTCAAATTGGCCACTTGACAAAAAGATAGCAGCAGTTTGCAATTGCTAACAGGAAGTGAGTGTAAGATATTGACATTTCATCTGGGAGTTACTAAATATGAACACATATTAAAAATACACCATTCAAAAACCTGGTAGGCATACCAATCAGGTAAATACGAATTTGAGAGATTCAGTTAACTCCATTTTCTTACCCAATTTTCTCTTGCCCTCAGGTGATTTTAAATGGGATTCCTTAATTAAGGAATCGTTCTGGTAATCCCAAAAAGAACTTACTTCCAAATTGGCAATATTGATGTTTAGTTAAGAAAATCACTGAGCATAATACCCCATTTGCTTGGTTCATAGAAGCCTGCATCTCTTCAGTATAAAACTCACATTGGTATTCTTCATGCAAAGAGTCTAGCTAGCGAGCTATTCAACAATGATGAACATCACGACTGGGTCTGATTCTGACATGATGTACATGCTTTACTGCAGTGATCAGAAATCAGAACTCTAATCCAGTATTTTTCCTTGCTCTGTAGTTAATTTTGTTTAAAAATAAAGTCATAACATATTGTGTATTTGTTTTGTTTTAAAATTTACTGCACAACCTAAGGCCAGAGATGTCAATATATTTATACTTGAATTTGCATTTTGGTTTCTTCAAAGGAGCTATTTACTACCGTGAAGCCTAGTTCAATTACCTGGCTTCACTGGGGTCATTAATAGAACTCAATGCTCTTTATGATCAGACAAAAATATGACGCACCTCACGAAGCCCTGAGGGATTTTTCTTTTTAAAAAAACAGAGTGCACTTTGCTTATTGCCATCAGCTTGGCTGAGAAAACTTAAGACTCAAGGTCAAAAGGATATGAAGATTTACTGCCAACAGTAGCAACCAGACTAGCAAAATAGGCCCCCCTGGCTTTGGAAGACACAACAATTTGACAGAGAGGCAGGTGCTCACATGCGTGTGCCTGCCAGCGGATCTTGGCAAAACAAATTCTATTTGTTCATGTTATATTTATGAAACAAGAAAAATCGCTTTGAACAGAAAGTTCTTACCGGCCGCTCTTGCTCCAGAATGGATGACTTTCCTGGCTCATACTCGAATATGCTTCTTGGTTCGGCACGGTATCTGCGAGTATCAACTTTTCTGTCAGGGGGATCCCAGTCATTCCTAAAGGAAATTTAAATATGATGTCCTTTACATCGCAGCAGTGGCCCCAAGTGTCACAATTTATGAAGCATCTTGATTCAGAAAATGACCGTAGGCTTGGGTGACTCAAAGCTTTGCATTTGAAGTGAATGTTTGACACGTGAACATGTTACTTACATGAGTGTGTTTGGGGATTGACTGGAGTCGAAATAAAAGAAACTTGTTACACTTCAAGGTCCATAAAATACCAATAATCAATCATCTGACGTTGTATCCCACTTATCTCAGACACTGAGATGTCGTCATAATGGCAGTGTGATGTCACGTTAGCTTCAGCCACAGGAGTGAGTTAAAGCTGCATGAACATCACAGGACTGAAAAAATCACCTCGTCTTACATGGCTCATAAAACTACTAGCCTTAGTAAGTGGCCCGTAATACAGCTCCACTTTAGGGAGTCCATAAAACTGCTCCACGTTAGGTACCTGCAGAACTACAATCTTAGAATTTGAGATTGCAATTGTGGTAAATTCTTAAATTCAGACTCATTTTGGAAACTGCTTTCATTTTAAGTTCTGCTGAAAATGCACTTCCCAGTTAAGATGGATTCAGCATTTTCCAAAATTCTTTGTTTAGATTTTAATGTTTTTAAAAAAAATAATTTTAGGTGAATTTGGGGCTTCCAAGTGTTGTCCTAAATTAAAACAAAGCATCTAAAAACATGGGACTACCTTGTAAAAAAATGTTTTGTGATTAGCTACCATTAATGGATGTGCTAGCACACAGATGTGCATCTTCATGCACATACATGTCCAAACAGAGGCTAGGCTGGAACTTCAATAGTAAGAATTCTGAGGAAATGGAAAACCTATTTGGGCCATTAACTCTGATGTTTTCAGGATATCCTGAAAAATTTCTTGCAACGCTGTTCTTGAATTATGATAGCCAGCTAAAGGCCTGAAGTGCAGGACACCACCAACTTTGAGACAAGGTGAGAAGACAAGGTGAGAAGTCAAGGAGTGCTCACCTTTTGAAAGACTGCAGACTGTAGGAGGAAGGGAAGACTGGGAGAGGCAAGAAGTTCAACAGACCTGAGCACCAAGGAATGTCTGATGTTTCAATTTTAGTACTGTGAGATTTCAGAGTTACAGAACATCTAAAGTGCCCAAATAGCAGGTTGGGAGAAAGGAAGGAGCAAATTGCCTTCATCCAAATTCATCCACCAGATAATCAAAATTGAATATTATTTCTAAACAATACTGCAGTAAATATTACAGGCCCAAATACAATAAGACACTGTTTGAATAACTTCTGTTATAAGGAAAACTTCCTAAAAGTTTGAGAAACTGTTTAGATATTGATAAACTGTTAAGCGTGACATTTGCTGTTGAAATAACATTATAAGGTTATTCCACTCATAGTTATAGTATCTTATATTAAAATGTCTTAAAGCATCTTACAGTAATTACTGTAAAGTGTAATAATTGCTTACTGAAAATCAATTTGCACTTTGAGTGTCGACACACAGTCATGAGGTGAATGACCAATGTATCTTAAGCACACTCAGGAGAAACTTCCTTGTTTAGTAAATGGTTGTAGGATTTTTAATGCTGCTCACCTCAGCAGACTAATACAATCTTGGTTTTACGGTCTCAACCCAAAGATAGAGACAAGACAGCAGATCCCCAGGAATGCACTGAAGTCATTTTAGACTTTAAAATCAAGTCCTGATGTAGGGACTAAACCCTCAATGATCTGTCATCATCAGAAGTTGACCACAGAGGGCGCAAACCAGCACCGGGGAGACAACTCAGCTAAACTAACCGTGATTACATTACTTTAGGTTCAGACAATTCCCCTGGAAAAATGCATATTTCAAATAATGTTCAATAAATATAATAATATAAATTTGTATTGTACTTACTTTTCTGTAAGGACCATTTCTCGATACCTCAGATGTGAAGGTGGTGGAACAGGTGGAGGGGGTGGTAAAGGAGCAGAATCCTTCAAGAATTCAGCACTACTATCCGAGACACTTTTTGATAAAGGTCTATAAGTGTGTGTCTTGGGGGGAGGGTGTGCTTGAACGGAGGTGAATGAGCTGTAATTATCTAGCACAAAAACAATGAAAACAATTACCTCAAAATCAATGCAGAGGTCCTGCAAGTAACTTTGTAAATACTGTACAAATAAAAGCACGTTTTACTGTTTTGAACAAATAGATCTTTAAAAAATTGTGGTTAAATTGGGTCAATTCTCTATCAGGATTATTGCTGATTCGCGGAATGGCATTAAAATGCAGTTTGAAATATTCCTTCTCCCTTCTGAAAAACGATAGCTTATAAATCCATCTGAAAAGCCCTAGATGCCGTTCTTGGATTTATGCCTGGCAGAAACATTTTTCAATCATCAATAAGAGCCTTTCTGAAATTACTCAAAGAGATACAGTGTTAAGTTATTCCCCACTGACATTTGAAAATGATCGCCGCTAAATTGGAAACTAACATAACAGAACCAGAACCTTAAGCTGGTATTTCAATATCCACTTTAAATGCTATTCCTTAAATAAGGAAAGTAATTTAAAAAAAAAATCAATACCATATCCCTTGCCCCCATCAGCTCAGCCAGAATTGTCAAGCACTTTGGGATGCCCTCCTGGCATGAAAGGAGCTACATTAGTGTAATTTACATTGCGTATTATACAGTTGAATATTTTGTTTTAAATATTGGTTTCATTTAACCTTTCATGACCAGTGAAATGCAATAAATTTCAACAGACAGTGTAGCATATCAGCCTGAATTTGGCCAAGCTTGGTATGAAGAGAATCTGCTCTTAATCTCTGCTGCTCTGCCTCTCTGCTTGTCTCATGTAGTGAGCGATGACACTGCTGTTATTCCGTGTTATTAGTTTGGTTTTAAAAAAACAGAAAAGAGCAGTTAACAGGAATTCCTGTTCTAATTCATCGCTAATTTCATAATTGCACCGTTCCCTGCATATATGGTAAGATATGTTACAGGACAGTTAGTGCAGGTGATGTTAACCTGAGTAACAACAGACGGTGTAATTGCTCTGATGAGATTGACCTCAGGATTGGGGGGCCCAGAGTGAAAGGGATGCACTTCCTGTTACCCCACCTGCAACTCAGAGCCACTGTGTGCCACTTGGGTTACTAACATTAATTGCATTTTGGATCACATAGTCCTTTAAACAACAATAATTTACATTTTATATACAGTCATTCAATTCAGGAGGACATCTCAAAGGGCTTCACAGTGTTGACTGGCAGCCTGCGATGTGGGGGGAGATGATGGGGCGGGGGACTGTGGGGAGGTGCTTGCAATCTGCTGGGCAGTCAAAGCAAAGGGCTTAATACTCAGGTTAACTCAGTGAGTTTAGCAGTTAACCTCATCACAAGCAACTGCAGGGTAAATTGAATGGATATTTTAAGCCTGTGAATACAAAGTGGGCTCCTGGCAAGGCTCATAACTGCTCCTCCCTTCCGGGCATTCATTACTTCCTCCTCCTGTTGCAGACGAGCATTTATATGGAGGCTTGAGAACATGTCCACCACCTGCCCCATTTGTTAAATTGTGACACAGTGGGGGGGGGTGGGTACGGGCAACAGTGTGTAGTAGTAGCAACGAAGAGGGCCTTATTAACCTGAAGAATCGGCTGCTCAGTAAAAGCAATTAATGACTTTGGAAAACAGCCAGATTATTATATGTAATAACATAGTACTTGGCTCGCCTGTATAATGCAACAGTCAGTTCCATTTCCATCGGATGTGCCTTTTCATGCAAATTTATAATTGCCAGAACATATACTGTGCATTTCAAATGGATAATTAGAAACTATTTAGCTCACCTTTTAGTCTCTTATCATGCTAATTGTTGATGTAATTGCTAAGTTATGAGCCTCATTAAATAGAGGTCTTGAAGTCTCTAGATTGACGGGGTCCACATGTGATACTGGCAGTGAACTGGTGTGTGAATTGCTCAGTCATTTAACCTTTTGAACCTGATAAGTAAAGCCAACAAACTAAAATGTCCTGAGGACACTTTGTTTACATATTTCCTGGTCAGGATACTTAACAGCAGAGGAATGTAATATACAGATGACGTTAATTGAGCGTCTCTCAATAGAGAAAATCAAAGCCAAGGTTTAAGTAATAGAAATAAAGATATTTTGAAAGATGGGACCTGATAGATTCAAGAAAAAGAAAGTATTGAAAAAAGGTAGATTGTGTGCAAGTCTTCTGCTTTGCAATTACTTGTTAATAGTATCTTGAAACTGTACTTAGAATTTGATTATGACCGAGAAATTGTTTGAAGATCAGAACAGAGGAGAATCTGAGATAGCAATTGTTTGAAGATCAGAATGGAACGGTAATATTTGAAAAGAAATGTGGATAGTAAAGGGGTGTAATCATTTTCAGCTGGATATAGGAAGAAGTGAGTTAGGTACATTTAGGGTACAAAACTGCAACGTCTTAGTGCAGGGAATGAATTAGCTACAGTAATAATAATAATAATCCTTGCGTTTGATATAGCGTTTTTCACGTCGGGAGGACGTCCCAAAGCGCTTCACTGAACACACTGTAAAGTGAATTGACTGTATATTTGTGGGCGAACGCGGCAGCCAATTGTGCACAGCAATGTCCCACAAACAATCATAGATTGAAAATGACCAATTTATTATTGTTTTGTTTTTTTGGAGGGATTATTATTAGGCGTGTGGAGTAAGGAAACTTGCCCAAGGTTTCGCTCTGCCTGGAATTGAACTCAGGTATCTCGTTTGCAAAGCGAGTGCTCTAACCACTGAGCTACAGGACTCCACAAAGTTCCGAGACAAGATTAGAGTCAACCAGTCGAGACATAGCACAGAGATGTCGCTGTATTCTCTGGAATGCTATGGAATGGGTTTAGGATAGATTTGAATTTCCACGATTTTGAACTGAACTATGCTACTTGTCCCAGACAATGAGATACTGTGATAATCTTGTGTTTAGCTACTGTATGGTAGGTGTGGCTACATTTATGATATTTTGTTTACCTGAAAATAAATACAATAAACAGATGTTAGTAAAATCCATCATTGTGTTAATTCAGTTTTTGCTGCTGATGTTAGAGCTAAATTTTCAATGGTTTTCAGCCACTGTTGAAATTGCTAAAGGTTAAGCAAATTGAATTTTTGAAGCTGGACAGGCTGAATCCATCATCCTCTAGAAAACCAGTCACCAATTTAATTCCAATTTTAATTAAGTATTTCTTACACTACATTAAGTTAGTCAGGAGTGTCTGTGGATCTCTGCAATACCAGCAGTATAATAATAAAAATGAACAATAATCCTTGCATTTGATATATACATTTCATGTTAGGATGCCACAGGATTTACTGTGAAATGTAGTGACTGTGTATTTTGTATGCATGTTATTTTGGAGGAGGCACTTTGTGTCCATGCTGTGCATAGAACAACAACAAGATTACATTTCTATGGCGCCTTTCACGATGGGAGGAGGTCCCAAGGCGCTGGATAATAATAATCCTTGCATTTGATATAGCACTTTTCATGTTTTCTAGACGTCTCAAAGCGCTTCACAAAATATGCTGTAAAGTGAATTGACTGTATATTTGTGAGCGAAATGCGGCAGCCAATTGCGCACAGCGGTGTCCCACAAACAGTTGTGGATTGAAAATGACCAATTTATTATTTTTTTGAGGAATTGTTATTAGGCGTGTGGAGTAAGGAAACTTGCCCAAGGTTTTGCCCTGTCTGGAATTGAACCCAGGTGTCTCCTTGCAAGGCAAGTGCTCTAACCACTGAGCTACAGGACTCCACTGAACCCAATGGACGTCTACGCAATGTTAATTTCACACTACAGAAATTTGTATTTGGATGTTCTCTGTATTTTTGCAATATGTTGATGAAAGTACATTTTCATTCATGTAATACAGATAGTCTGCTATGGCAAATATTGCTGCATTATAATTATATTGTGATGTATTGAAATATCTGAATTATTGGCCAAAAATATATATTTAAAATTTCTTTAATAACTATAAGAAAATCTATTATTAAAGATTAATATTGTTGATATTCCAGTCCCTAGAAGGCAGGCATCATGTGTTTACTACACCAGCATAATTGATGGAAGCAATATAGGATATATGAAAAGATAGCAACTGTAGCAATGCTGAATGAAGATGAGGATTTCAACAGATGAAATAGGTTGAATTTGGGGTATTTTGGTTGCATTTACATGTGTGGGAAGATCCTACAGTCTAATTCAATTAGTGTAGTGGTGGAATCAATAGGGATATTTAGAAGTGAGATTGACAGACACATGAATAGTAGAGGTATTAAGGGGTATATTGAAAGGGCAAAGCATTGGTCTTAAAAGTTCTTCAAGCTTTTAGTACACCAGTAAAACAGGTCTTATTGGTTGAATGGTCTCGTCCTTTACCTATATATATTACAAACGTTGTTCACTAGTCTTATCAAGGTACTAAAATAAAAGTCCTTACCAGGATGAGTATATGCATATGTGGCATTGTATGCATCGTTATCATCATCTGTTAAGAGATAAAAAAGTTGAAAGGCAATTTCCTTCCACTCAATAGTGATTGATGGATTTACACTGGATAATAATATAATCTTTGCATTTGGTATAGCTATTTATCACATTGTTGAGGCATCTCAAAGCAATTCACAGAATTGTACTGTATAGTGTTTTGTAGGCAATAATTCTACTTCCAGCATCTAGTTTAGATAATCTTAAACTAGGTGATGGGTTTTCAAATGTGTCAGACACCCAGCTGACAAAAAAACAGGGTTATTTAGTGCAAAAGTGCTATTTTGTACAGAAGTCAGCTTTTTATAAATTTATTTTTCTCTTTTATAAAGACCATTTAATCCTAAAACTGTCCTGAACCAAAGAAGGAAAACATTTTCAAATGGAGAACTTTGAGCTTCAAGGGAGGAAAACTTAGCTGAGTGTGGAGTCTGTGTCGCTTTATTTGGTTGAGCCATTTATATGACTGATGCAGCATGAAATAATATTTCTGAGGCTAAGAAGAAAGTGAAATGAGGCTAAACGTGTAAATAAAGTCATTACTATTACAAACAGGAAACATACCTGGCTTGTGCACCATGTGTATTTGCTTGAACATCGTCTTATACCAGTCTTTGGGTCGATCCACTGTCTAGATTACAGTTTGTAAATCAGAATTAGTATTACATAAAAAGGTATATACAGTAAGTCTCTACTCCATATCTAAAATCTAGTTATGATTTTTACCCAAAGGATGATAGCAACTGTTTAAACTTTGCTTTAGCCACTCACAATGGCCGTTTTATTCATGGTGTCCAGTGAGCAAGCTGTAGGCAGTGGGACCGGAGTGAAAACAAAGTGAAAGGCACATAGCAGTCCAATCAGTCCCAATGAAAGTCATAACCTGTAACATTAACCCAATTTTTTCTTTCAGATGCTCAAGAACATATTGTGGTTTTCCATTATTACTCATTTCCTTTTAGATTTTTATCTTTTGATTCCCCACCCTCTGGAGTTAGCAGTTTTAAGAGGAAACAGGTGGAGAGAAAGAGAAATGTGATGGGATAACCTATATGACATATGAGCACAATCCCTTCCTCAACAACAAATCGCATTTGTAAAGTGCCTTTCACAGTGGGAGGATGTCCCAAGGCGCTGAACACCAGAACCTAGATATGTGGGAAATTCAAAACTTGTCAACAGTGTTAAAATATTAAGTTGCTGCTATCTTTAGCATTTTTCTGCCAGAGGTCAAGAGGTTATTTGCCACTTGGAGCTGGGATTCTTCCCATTCAGCTCCTGATAACCCTGCAAGCCCAAACCTTAATGGGCAGGGTGGCTCTAGCTGGATAAACAGGCGAGGCTTGATAGATTGTGATTTCAACGGCAAACTATATGGTTGAACAGTGATTTAGCTGGTTAATTACCAGCAGTACCTTCAACGCACAGACCCTGGTCCCCAAGTCTTGGCTCTCGCCAACTTGTATCTAATACTCCCTGAAATTAAGCAGGGTGTGTTCCTCCAGGGAGAAAGTTCACATTTCATTCCAGGCTCAGGGACATCGCACTTTGCCATGTGAAAGTGGCAAACAAATGCAGAACTCACCATCTGGTTTAGATAACCTTAAACATGGTGATGGGTTTCCAAATGTGTCAGACACCCGGTTGTAGAAAAAAACGGGTTGTTTAGTGCAGTAGTGTTATTTTGTACAGAAGTTATCGTTTTATAAATTTATTTTTCTCTTTCATACGCACAAGACACTGTTAGATACACCACTGCGTTTGCATGAAATATTTATGAATTCAATCATGAATATTAATGGATTGATGGTACTCCAGAAAATTTTGTTGAATTAGCTCAATTCTCCAATGTGCTGAATAATTTCTGAACAGTTTTCAATTAGTGTTTTGTACTTGGCCTTCAATATGCATTAGTGTCTAAAAATCTATGAATTGAAGTATATAGTTCATTCAAGAAACTTCAGTTACATATTTGTTTTGGACATAGCGCAAGTTTTGATGCAGTGCATATGTGCATGCGGGGGCTCAATATAATTAATCTACAATCATTTATTCCATTTGTAAATGAACCAAGTGGATTATAGTAAATTTTTATACGTGAAGGAATAATTGCACTTGAATGAAAATTGATGAAGATATTCCAGCATGACAAACACACGTTAACCACCAATTAATAGCCAAAGTGAACTCTGGATGAACTACATTTTTTCTCCCATCTACACAAAGAAACATATGCAGCTGTTTTTTTTCCACACTGGATACAGACTAGCTAAATCTAGGGGTATCATTACATACATTCAAAGATCGAACAACAATAGCTGTCTAAGTGAGTGGACAAAAATAGAGAAAGAGAAGTGCTATGTGTGCAACATGGCAATTATCTGTGGAATGTGAGATGCACAAAAAAGTCTACAATTAAAACAAGCAATATACAGTCGTGATAGCTTTTCCCCGAGTGCTCATTATATTCCTCTTAGTTGACACCATATAATCAAAAATTACGTACTGCCAACAGTCAGGGAGGCTACGGACTGAAGCCCAGGGGAAAATAACAAAAGGTGGTTAAGGAGGATACCCTTAGGGGTAACGACCAGAGAGGCCTGAAATACTTCATAGTCTTAGCAGGAATACCAAAGTCTTAAAATGTGAGATTGTCTAGGACTTTGAAAATTTTTTCAGTTATTTTCCAGAGCAATTGGTTGATAGAAGAGAAATGCTATTCAAGATTAATTAGATACTCTTAAGCATGGTGATGTGTCAGACACCGGCTGACCTCCAAAAATTAATTAGTGGATAGGAGAAGGTTAATTATTGAACTGAGAAATTGATAAGACTAGATTTAGAGTTTTTTCAATGGTAGACTACAGTCAGTCATTGTATCTGGTATGTACACACATCAAAATACAGCCTTTCTAAAAAATTCTAAGAACTTATATAATAATAATCCTTGCATTTGATATAGTGCTTTTCATGTCTCTAGATGTCTCAAAGCGCTTCACAGAATATTTGCTATAGTTAGCCAAAGAATAATGTAAAGAATTAGAGACACTTTAATTCATTGGTCTTGGTGGAGCAGTGGTGGCTTGGAAGCCCGATAAGGACAAGACTGAGTACTGAAATGCAGACAACAATTCAATATTTAACTGAAGTTCCCAATTGCCTACAAATTAATTATATGTGGATAAGAGAAAACCGTGTCGTTGAACATAGACATATATTGACATACACTGAAGTAGTATTCCTTGAGCGTAGGTTGCAGGTCCCCACATATTCAAAGGAAGCTATGCTTGAAGAAAATGGCATCAATGTATTTAATAGAAAATTTGATGCATACTTCAGAGACGTTTTCTTTAAAAAAATTACAAAAGCACATGAGGAAAAGAAGGAAATTGTGATTAGATTATGTAGTTCCGGTGGAGCAGCAAGCACCAGCATAGGCTCGATTGGCCAAATGGACTACTTCTGTGCTGTAATTTCTATGCTAGGCTATGAATAATGTACAAATACAATGGGAGAAGCAATTGCCTAACAGTTGCAGGAACACGAGCTGTAAACAGTCAAAAAGAATAATTATTTCCTGCAAATGAACTGCGTGTCCTGAATACTGCTAATTAAAACAAGACCTTTTTAAAAAAAGAGAAAGGAGCCCATACTTGGTCTAAGAACAAAGTCCCATTGTATCTTAAATGTTTATATTTTCACAAAAATATACAATTAGCATTCTACAAATTCCTTACTCTGTCTTAATTTCTCCCATAAGATAGTCAATTCACTTTACAGTAATATTCTGTGAAGCTCTTTGAGACATCTCAACTACATGGTAAGGAGTTATATTAAACGGAAGGATTATTATTAATTATTATTTATTATTAATAATAATCTCTTTGGTAAAATGTTTCACATTCAATAGAGAAAGAAGTTTGAACAGCCACATTGGTAGAAAACTAACCTTTTGGCAGAAACTGCAGACAGGGGAACAGAGTAAAATAATATTTCCCTACCGTTCTTATGGCTATAGGTATTCCTGATTCATCAACTGGGCCAATGCCTGCATAATGTGGTGCTTTAATTACTGTCACTTTCTTCTCCTCCTCTGAGGTTCTGTAAAGTGGATCAATACTGATCATATCGATCCCAGGAGATCGACTTTGCTGTGAAGTCCTCATACTCTCTGCAAGGAAGTAAAAAATAAGCGTTGTATACCTGACAATCATTAAAAGTGCATCAATCAAAAATGGGCACCAAAAAAATACACAATCATTTCACTTTGCAGGATATCCAATGAAGCGCTTTGAGATGTTCTCCCAACATAAACGGTGCTAATATCAAATGTAAGGATTATTACCTATTGTTTTAAAAAAAGATTTTCAGAGAAAATAAAAATCCTTGTATTTAATATAGTACCTTATCATGTTGGTAAGATGTCTCAAACTTCTTAACAGGATATACGATAAAGTGGTGTAACTGTGTGAATTTTGTGGGTGAAGGTGATAGCCAATAAGCATACAGCAATGTCCCATAAACAGCCATTGAATGAGTGAGCAGTTTTATTTGGGAAATTGTTAGTCAGGACACGGGGATGAACTCTCTTGAGAGAAGGGCTTGAAGGGAGCTATGTAAATGCAAGTTATGTTGTTGTTCTTTATACTGGCACAACTTCAACTGGTTAATATTCTTATCTTTATCAAAAAATAGTGTACATATTGCAGTTCGAATCCAATCATATGCTTATTGCTCATTGTTAGCTTCTAAATGATCAATTCCAACTGATAAATTGAAATTACACATCTATCCAACATTCCTTTTAGATATTTTTGACATAATTGTAAAACTAAAAGTGGAGGGAAATCAACCAAATGATTAGTCAAATAATTTGCAATTAAATAAAAACCTAAGATTCATGTTATAAATTAAATGCAATGGTTTTCAGTGAAAAATACAGGAATAATCACTTTTTTTAGGCCAATTAAAGATGAGTAGGGACAAGATAGAAGACAAAGTGCTCATTTTACCCATTATTCACAGATATAATAATCCTTGCATTTGATATAGCGTCTTTTCATCTTGAAATATTTCAAAGCACTTCACAGTTTTCTATAAATTTGTTATATACATTTGTTGCTAAACACGGCAACCAATATGCACACAGCAATGTTCCACAGACATGAAGTGAAGGACCAATTTTTTTTCTGCGGGAACGTTGCCCGGGGCAAACTCCCTCTCTTTTGAATTGCATCACAGGATCTCTAACGTCCACATGCACAGGCAGACGAGACCTTGGTTTAATGTTTCATCCGAAGGACGAACGTACCTGTTCAGGCTGAAATACCACAGGAAAAAGAACAGTAAACGGATCTTATTCCAAAGTTCAATGAGTAATTTACAAAACAATAATATCTTTCCAAAGCTATGCACTTCTAATTGTTTCAGGTTTTGTGTAATTATAATGGAAGACAAGTCTGACCACGAGAATCATCCTCCACATTAGCAAGTTGTAGGTTTGGGTTGTATCATCTTTATTTTTTGAACGTCAAGTAGCTGGCAGCTGCAGCCAGCAGAGTTTGTTAGTTTATTTCCAGAACAATATTCATTTTGCATCTCAAACATCAAAAGCAGGAATGACCGAACTGCAACAATAATTTGTGTAGCGTAGACTGTGTGTAGGCTTTTTGGTTGTAGGAGGAGGTAGATGTAGTTTCAATCAATTCTTACTTCTGCACCACAACACATGTGAACACTTTGTTGCTGCTTAATTGGAGCCTATTATCGAAGTAAGTTTCAGAATCCACTGGAAAATTCATATTGAACCAGTTCCCTTTGCCATCAATCTGGAGGCATGCAATGCTAAACAATATAGCTCTTCAGGGGCTTAAAAAAAATTCTAGTCAATAGTTTGTATTTTAGTTTCAAATTTTTTTTATTTTTTCTCCTACACTGCTTCAAATTAGAATGCTTTTCCTTGCGTGGCAAACTTGTCTCTTGGAACTCTTGTGCACCCTCCTTTCTATCCCAGTTACTCGTGACTTGAAAATATAGCATTCTCCATTTCACTTTTCTTCTTCAGCTCTAACCTTGATAAAGAACCTCCTCACATATTGTTCCACTCATTCTACTGTTGTTATTCTACCATTATGATCAATGGCAAGTTTCACCTTCAGTCCTCGATCAACACATTGTCTGATTGTCTTAAACCCAGCTGTGTGCTAGATGTGAATGCGAAAATGTTTCTCATTGTGGATTCTTTGGATTTGCTGTACCTGCATCTTTTGTTTGCTGATTATATGTGGCTTCTTTCTGTAGAAACACAATGAGTTATGTCAACCCTATTTCTTGTAGCGAACTCCTTAAACCTTTTTGTCAATGGTTTTGATTTTTATTGGAAGTTGGAGGTCAAGAAAGTTCAGAGCTGGTCTTTCGATCTTGTGAAGCAGAAATTAGCCCGAGCCAGAAGAATCTATTCACAGAGCACTCAATAAATCAATCATCATAAGCGGTCTGTTGTTGGACCAGAAATGGTCTCATGACTCCAGCAGCTATTTGACCCTGTAACTCTTCCACTCAATTCCAACATCTCAATTTTGAGATATGGCTGGCTTCCCACACTTAAAAATAGGCAAAAACTCTGCCTGTGTAACACCTGATTGTTACATAATCATACCAGGCCAATATTACACAGGGATAGCTTACCCATCTTTCTGCTGTGCTGCATTGCAACGATGTTTGGATTGCCTGAGGCCAACAAAGGATATGCTGATGATGGGGAAAAGGACCCTTGAAAGTTACCCATCAGGCTTCCACTGTCAGTAATGGAATTCCCATTCACTGCCATCTGTGTACAGCAAGCACAAAACAGACCATTAGAAACATCTCACAATTAACTGGTGATGCTACTCTTATGAAAAAGGGATAAATGATGCAAGAATGTCAATCAGAAAAGATAACTGTGATTAGTATGTACAGAAACAAAACGCACATTCATTTATTAGTTAAAATTGTCCACAATACAAATACAAAGAGTTTGATAGGTCCCAATCTGCCAAACAAATATTTCTACCAACTGCTGCAATCAATATATTTCTATAATCCCAGGCTTCAGATTATTTTTGCCTCAGTTACATTCTGAGTTTCCACAACTCCAAGATAAATTCCTATCTCAAAAATGGTAGCTATTAGTTGTGACACCAACAAATGACATAATGAAGATGAGACTGGGATTTAGTGAATCTCATGCAGTCAGTGTTCAAATGTACAGGAAGAATTCTGGGTTAGAATAGGGTAAGCAACGGAAATGACAAACATTTGATAAAATCCTGCTTCTCTCAGATGAGTGATTTAAACAATAACGAATGTCAACACACGCAATGCATATTGGTGGTTTTATGATGCCAATGAGAGCTTTGGCAATGAGATCACTGAAGAACTCCAAATATACCAATGGGTCTCTGATCGTTAAATCTCTTGATGCTTCATCATTTTCTGTTTTACCGTTTTATAAAAATGTAAAACAAAAACACATAAGTTGGAACCAGAAACAGGTGCAGTGGCAGTGGGAGGAAAAAGGTTCATGGTGAGAAGAATGGCAATCCAAAATGAAAAATTGAGTGAGTACAATGGGGCTTTAAGGTCTGTGCTCAATTGCTATTGACCTGACAACGCAACAACACACATTTGTTAAAAGGTTTATTGCTGCCTGTTAAACCACATGAATTTTTCTACTTTCTTCAAGCCCAATTCAAATTGTGGTTGACCTGAATGCTACTTACTATGCAATCAAATGTAATTTTCAGGAATGCGATTTTACCAACTATAGAGGGTACACAGTGCTCACACAACTATCAAGGAAGGAATAGCCAAAATGCAGTAGATCTTCAAACTAAGCAAGGTTACGATAGGATTTGCTGCCTTAAGTGCATCCTTTGCAGATCTGATAAACAAGATTTAATAAAGAAGATTTTGCAGATTTGGTAAACAAGTACAGTAGTTTGTGACCAATTCTTGAAGCAAACAGAATTGTAGAATTGGTAAAATAGACTGACTGATCAGAAGAGCAAAATCCAATTCATCTAATCTGAAACAGGTTAAACCTCTTTGTAAAAGGTAATAATATTGAGACATAATGCTCCCCTGGCCACGAGTAATGTGTATTTGCACTCTCAATTTAAAATAAGTGAAAATAAGTAGAAAAGAGAAAAAAAAACAAAAGATAGTTTGAGCATTTTTTAAATTTATTCTTCACGGGTTAGGTTAATATTACAGTAATAGTTATTCTGACAATGTTGGGGGAAATGTTACACGATTAAAGCAAGGCATGAGCTGAAATCAAAAATATCCATTAGCACTCTGAGATAGAGATGGTCAGTAGGTAGAGATTACAAAGGTTAAAGACAGAGGTAAAACAGTGGTTAAAATATGCATTATATCAAAGCAAACTTTCAGATCAACCTTGATTTGAATTCCATATAAATCAGGTTTGGAAAAAAACTCCCCAAGACTTACACAGCACAAATTTTAAAAAGAGACATTAAGTGGTATTGCGTTAGAGATGCGCTAATGTGCTTGGTTGTTTCAAGATGCCCCACATTCCACCATAGTCATATAGGTAGACTTGATTCAAGACAAGGACATCCACAATTGTGAATGAGTAGCTGTTAGTGGGTAGTACCAGTGTAAAACGACAGTGGAAAAGAAAAGTTCAGACGGTAGAGCACATGCCAACACCTCTGACGTGAATACATCTGGTTAAGTTTCCCTTACTGAAATGACACCACCTAGGTGAGTAAGGATAAAGAGGAAGGATAATTACATGAATGGGAGCAGCAGTGATGGTGGTGGCTTTATCATCAGTTAATGCGGACGTCTGACTCAGGGTTGGGGATGGCGTGGCAGAATGGTCAGTGGTGTCGTAGCCACAGGTTTGCAGCTCATCTAGAATGGCTGTGGAGGATTCGCTCACAGTCCGAGACGAGTATTCACTCAGAGTGCATTCAGTGGCAAGGGGCGATGATTCATTCAAGCGTGGGGGAGGAAAGCTGCACAATGATGGGGTTGGGGAAAGGGCTTTCTGAAGGTGAGGAGGGATGAAGTCATCAAAAGTTGGCAAGACACTTTGCTCTGGGCTCACACCAGTGTACGGTGACAGAAAGTTCCGGTTAGTAGGTACCAGAGGTAAAGGTGAAGACACTCTTGGTGAGATTTGCCTGCATGCCTGTGAAGTATTATTAATCTTGGGTGCCATTTTCTCTTCTGACTGAGCCACTGCAGTCATATTCTGAAGGAGGGAGAATATTAAGGATGTAAACATGTCAATAAGTTATTAAATATTTGGGACAATTAATCAAACATTGATAAATAATAACTTCAGGCAGTCCGTTTTTTCCAATTGGTTGAATATAACACTATAATTAAAAAAATTCAGTACTGCAAAATCTGTGCCCCACTTGTATTGTTAGAATGATTATTTCAGCTTTCTGCATTTAAATGTTACAATCCAAACCTAATCTGTTTCAAATGCACAAAGCAACACAAATAATTAGACCGATTAACCTGCACCAAGGTCCAAGGAATGTATTTTGATCAGTGCTCAGCTGCTCTTAGTAATGACTGTCATTTCCCTTCAAAAGGGATAAGCTATCAGACAGCTCAAACTAGATGATAATCTGACCACAAATCAATTAAAACACACGCAAACAGACACAACAAATCCATCTTCTTTTTTAAATTGTTCATTTGGTGCAATAGATCCCTTGACAAAAGCAGCAATGTATGAATTTGAATCAAATTTCTTTCTGTAGAAAATATGATTGGAAAGGACCCAAGGTAGAATTATGTGTAGCTACATCCATCAATAAAGGTCCAAACCAATCAAGATCCTTTCCAATGCCCAATATAATGAACAATAAACAATAAATTGCTATTACGAACAATGATGGCATCGACAACTAGAAACGTAGAACAACAGCTTGCATTTAAATAGCGCCCTTCACACAAAATAGTGTCCTGGAGCGCTGGACGGTGGCAAAATCTGCCCCTGAGCCAGGGGAAGAGGGAGGTGGGAGGTGACTCTAAGCACGATTAAAAAGGAAGGTATTTAGGCAGGATTTGAAAGTGGTGAGGGAGGGGGCAAAGCGGAGGGTTTGAGGGTGAGAGTTTCAGATTTTTGGGGCGCAGTGGGTGAAGGCACAGCCACTGATGGTGGAGTGGAAGGATGAGGAATGAACAGAAGACCATAGCCAAGCGGAAGCAGCAGGTGGTGAAGTGGGGGGTAAGCAGGTCAGCTAGGTAGGGAGGTGCGCAGGTACGAAGAGATTTGAAAGTGAGTGGGAGGATCTTGAAATCAATATGTTCGGTGATGGGGAGCTAGTGGACCCTGGCAAGGACTGGTGTGATGGGGGCATGGAGTTTTGTACTGGTGAGTATCCTCGAGACGGAGTTTTAATCAATTGTATTTCATGTATGATGGAGCTTGGGAGACCAGCGAGGAGAGCATTTGAATAGTCCAGCTGGGAAGTGCCGAAGGTGTGGGCTTCAACTTCTTTGGTTGTGAGGTACGGACGGACGTGGGCAATGTGATGGAGGTGGAAAATTGGTCCTGGTCAAGGAATGGATGTGAGGTAGAAAGGAAAGCTGGGGATCGACCCTGATGCCTAAGTTTTGCACAGGGTCAGTGCATCTAAGGGAGAACCTGGGGAGGTTGAGGAGTTCAGACCCGCAGAAGAGAAGACGTTGACGGGAGCCAAAGATTATGGCTTCAGTCTTGCCGACATTCAGCCGCAGGAAATTTGCACTCATCAAGGCCTTGATGTTCGTCAAACAAGCTGACAGGACATCAGCAGACTGGGAGTCGCAGCTGGAGGAGAAGTAGATTTGGGTAGCATCTGCATACATGTGGAAGTTGACCTCATGTCTGCAGATGACATCGCTGAGAGGGAGCATATAGATAAGGAAAAGGAGAGGGCCAAGGAAGGAGCCTTGGAGGATTCCACATGTGACCAGGCGGGGGCGGGAGGAAAAACCATTGGGCGAGATGTATTGTTGGCAGTTTGTTAAGTAGGATTTGAGCCATGCGAGTGCAGTCCCACTAAGGTGGATGAGGGAGGAGAGATGATTTAGGAGGATGGCCTGATCAACCATGTCAAACTCGCAAAGAGGTTGAGGAGAACGAAGAGGTAGAGGAAGCCCTGGTCACAGAGAGAGGGGGCGTCATTTGTTACTTTGATGAACGCTGTCTCTGTGCCGTGACAGGACAAAAACTGGACTGGAGGGGTTTGATCAAAGTTGATTTCTAATGACATGTTCCAAATCTTTGGCCAGGAAGGGCAGACTTGAGATGGGTCTGAATTTTGCGAGGTTGGAGGGATCGAGGGTAGGTTTTTTTTAGATGACACTGGTTTTGAGGGGGACTGGGACAGAGACTGAGGAGAGGGACTGTTTGATTTCGTCAGCTAGCAGTGGGCAGAGGAGGGGGAGTTGAGCGACCAGAAGCTGGATGGGGAGGGGGTCGAAGCAGCTGGTGGTGGGCTTCATCTGGGCGATGGTGGGGGAAAGGGAGGAGGGAGAGATGGGGGCAAAGTAGGAATGTAGAACCAAAATAACTGAAATTAATTATTTTCTACAAAGCAAAAGGCACAGTTTATTCTGCATAAGATGCTGTCAAACAACACATTTTATAAATAAAAATTACAGGGGACAAACTAATTCTCTGAGATCTATACCAAACTGTAAGCCTAGGACAGAAACAGAAGTCGCTGGGAACACTCAGCAGGTCCGGCAACATCTATGGAAATAGGAAAGTGAGTCAACATTTCGGGTCCATCACAACTTCATTCTTTGTTCTGACAAAGGGTCGTGGACCCGAAACTTTGACTCACTATCCTTTCTCCATTGATGCTATGCTGCCTGACCTGCTGAGTCTTCCCAGAGACTTCTGTTTTTGTTTCAGAATTCCAATATCTGCAGTATTTTATGTTTTGTAAGCCTAGGAATTCAGGCTAAATATCCAGCAAACAAAAAATGCAACAGTTGAACAAATGTCAAACAAGCTTTGTAAATGTTAAAACAAAATATGCACAAATGATTTTTTAATGGAAGAACTACTGTATGCTCATTTCTATAAAAAAAGCACAGAATGTTCCTGTTATATAATATTCAATGTTCTACAACCATCAAAGTAGACCTCCAATGTAGCAAACAGCAATTAGAATTAAGAATCTACAGATAGCCATCATTGATTCACTAACAACAATTTCCCTAAAATGTTCAACAATTTTACACTCAACAAATATAAGTCTAATTTTAAAATAGTTATAACTTAACCTAGAGATATTTAATAAAATATGATTAAAGTAAATCTTTCCATCAATCCTCTGATACAGGAAGCCTTGTGCTAATTAATTTGGTTCCCCTCCACCCAATACCTCATCAATGTAGACACTCATCACATTTGAGCCTGTATATTGGGCTATTCAATCTGAAGACAATCAGTTACATGGGACCTTCCACTCACATGTGTGGACCTTTTAGCCTCCCAATGTTGACTGGAAATTGTTGGATTCTAGTCAGCAGGAAAACATTGTCTGTCTTTCCTCTTTAGTTGACAAGGAGCTAATTACACCGTCTTCATTGTCCCCTCTAAGATGACACACCCTAAATGTATATAGACCAAGATTCAAAAGTGGGAGCTTTTGTTCTGATTTTAAATTGAGGAACATGTACCTCAATTCCTCCCAAATCTAATTTTGTTTCAACTTGGCTTTCCAACAAATCCCCACATTAGGAGGTATTGACAAATTCCTATAATGCCTGAGACTGCCCTACATATTAACTGAGGTTAATTAGTTGTTAAGTATGGTGATGAGTTTCTGCATGTGTTCAAACCCCAGCTGATCAAAAAATAATAATTTGTTCTGGCTAAGAGTCAGATTTAGGTGTGAGGTATCATTTTAAAGTAATGCAATCTGTGTTCTGCAGCCTGTATCCTCCTGCTTCCTGCATCTCCACATTGTGGTTATCAAAACTATTGCTCTCATTCTTTCCCTCAATGTCAAGAAAGTTAAACTTTATACTCTAAAATCTCTACTCTGAATTCCTGCAGGCTTTTCAATTTAGGAGTATGAGGGATGAGTTTAACAACAGTCTGGGGTACAACTCAAGTATAAATCTACCAAGGATGGTACATTCTTGAAAGTATCCAGGACAATGACGTACTTCAGGACAAATTAAACAAAAATGCATCAACAGGGAAATTAAAAAGAGAGATTAAGCCCTGCAATAAATGAAACATCTCAGAACAGGCCTTAATAATAATAATACTGCTTTGTCATGTCGCTGAGACAAAGTGCTTGTCAGAATTATACTGTAAAGTAGATTGACTGTATTTTGTGGGCAAAATAGTGTTGTGTAAGATATTTATGGTTAGAGAAAAATAAACCACAGGATACGGGTTCACGTTTGTATGGGGATAGTTTGGGGTGACTTTAGGAAGCATTTCTTCACACAGATAGTAATCGACAACTGGCATGGGTTGCAGTACCAGGACAGATGTTTGAGCCAAGGTAGTTAACTCATTAAGTAAAAGCTCTGTGCCATAATGAGAAGACAGCAGAGTTGGCAGTCTAATAGGGTAAGATCAATGGACTAACAGACATTCTTCACTAGAATCTACCATGCATTTTCTAACCATTTCTTGACTTCTTTTATCTTCTACTATTTCCAACTTGGTAAGTTGTACAGTACTACATTTTACATCTTATCCATTCATTTAGGGTCTGAATACAAAAAATTAAGTGAATAAAACAATCCTTTTTTTAAACGAAGACACGGATCTCTCATTCAAACTCAATCACAAAGACTAGACCTGGTAATTCTGACACAAACAAAACTTTCTGAGTAACAAGACTACAACCAGGCCAGTAAAGCATTGGAGATCTTTTTTTTAAATCAAATATCTCCTAGTGGAATGTATAAAGAGAATCCCCATAATTAAAGACATACAAAGCCCATTTATAACATTATTTTGGTTCTGCTTGGCATTGTTGAATTGAGGAGAGAAGCACGATCAAAAGGTGAATGGCACTAATAAAAGAGCAACAATAAATAGTTTGGGGAAGGGACAGAAATGTGGACCCCTTGAATATCATAACATAATAATAATAATCCTTGCATTTAATATAGTGCCTTAATATGTCATTGGGAATATATTGTAAAGTGAATTGACTGTATGTTTTGTGGGGGAAACACGGCAGCCAATTGCGCGTAGCAGTGTTCCAGAAACAGTCGTGGATTGAGTGACCACATTTTAAATTTAAAAAACATTTTTTTTGAGGGATTATTACCCCATAGTCGCAACTGATCTTAAAGTTTGTCCCTATTACACAATGAATATCCATGGTCACAGTTCTCAGCTTGTGAGTGGCTGGGGTAACCTCAATTAGTCCACAGAAAGAGTTGGATAATTTGACCTATTACATATCTAAATGTGTGCAAGCCAATGTTTTTATTGTCAGTAAGCATCAATAGTTGCAATTCACTTTCCTTTTTTTTAGAATAAAGCCATTCGACAGCTATAAAACAAAGAGTTAATCGGTTGCCGTGCAAATCTCCGGTAAGTAGAAAATAAAATATTAAACATATTAACTATTGCTAATAAAAGAAAAGTATGTACCAGACGATCCCCTGAGGACTGTGCACAGGGTGGAGCATTAAGCACTTGTGCCGTGTCCCTGTGTGGCTTCCTTCCACTGTCTGCAGCATATACAGGTGGGGGTCCTTGTTCTGTTGTATGCACACTGGCTGGAACTATTTGAATGGAAAGAGAGGCTGTGTGTCTCTCAGGCTCTGTCTTATCTCCAGGGAAAGGTGAATGAAGTGAGGGGTTCACGTCAGAGTGAGGCATAGATTTGTGTTCTGTGTTGGAGGAATTAGCAACCTTTTGACGTTCTGATAGAGTTAGCTTGATGGTGTTAATTTTACGTTCTTGAAAGTGCCCATAGTTTGTTTGGAGTGAAGCGTTGGCATTGCTACGGTCAACTACTTTACATAGAGTAGAGGCCTGGTCAGATGGTGCCTGTTGTGAACACGAGAAACGTGTACTGGATTGTTCAAACAAATGTGAAGCACTCTGAACATACTCTTCCTCATTAGTCACACAGGTAACATTGGAGGTTATTTGCAGGTTAGATGTTGGGAGTGCTGGCCAGCTTCTATTTATAGGTCCCTGGTCTGAACCAGAGGGTGCATGGGAGTTGCTGGGATTGGTTAATGGATACCAGTTAAAGCTTTCCTTTCTGGGTGGTGGAGAAGGAACCTGCCAAAGACAACCACACAGCAGGAAAGAAAGAAACCAAACAGAAGAAAAAAGAAAACAAAATTGGAAAACGTCAGCAGGGAGATTTGGCTGGAATTAAAACATTGAGTATAATACAGTACTTTCAAAATACATTTAAAGACTGACTCTATACCTTGTTGCCTTTCAGCAAACAAAAAATGGCTGCTGAGCAATTCATTTTGTTGGGAGTTTTTTTAAAAACAAAAACACAGATTGCCAAATCTAAATGTGTGAACTCAAAACTACTCTCAAGAAAAGATCATGGCTGTGCAGCAAGTTCTCTAACAGATCAATTTGATATGTGCTTGCAGCATTTTGAAGAGCGTCAGAAATGACAGTTTCAAAATTAAGACAATTTAAAAATTCTTAAATTGCCAAATTTTATATGGCCAAAATTATACAGACCTTATTTATTGTTTTATGGTGATGGTCTTAAGGCTAAAACCATGAAATATTCCAGGCCTCTGCCCACCATTGTCCTCATAGTTGGTGGAGAGCACTAGCCAATTTTTCCCTCCCCCAGAAGAGAAAGGAGATGGGAACAAACCTGAATTACTTTTAGCAGAGAACGTTACCCACTTGCGCAGCCATGATTCACATTATGCTTATCTTTACAAAGCAATCTCAGCAGAGCATTTGGTTTCTTAACAGTGTGTATGTTATTTTATGAGAAAACTATCAATACATTTCTCTTATCATACAGTACTCTATAGGCCATAGAAAAATATAAACATAAGTGATTTAGCCCATTGAGTCTGTTCCACCATAAAAAACAAAAAACTGCTGTATATGATAATTACAATCATAACTACATATACACAACACACATATATTCGTGGAATCCTGTAAACACTACTGACTCAGCCATGCTGACAGAATTTAAACGGTTGATTTACTCAATACCTATGAAGCACATTGAAAGTGAATGCTCAGCGCAGATCAACCCAGATGCGTTCAAAGAGAACCATGGAAATTAACGCCTTGCAAAAATTCCTTCATCCCACCCTAAAAAATAACACGAGTCTGGATGGTAGTGGTATAAATGATTTGCAGAGGTCAATTCAATTGCGAAAAGGACTTCATTATTTCTGAGCCACTTCATTCCTTGTGCGATACGAGGTCAAATTCAGTTAGAAACTCATTTCCATAATTCTACCCCACAATGTCAGAAAAGTGGGTTGTCTCAAAAATGATAACATGTCTGAAAAGTTAAACGGCAAAGGTTCTCAAGTTTAACATTTCTTTCAAATGGCCAGAAACGTATTATATAACTCAATAAATTATTACTGTCAGATAGAGAGCTACATAATAAATTTATTACGTTTCTTAAGCAGACCATAAGTTGTTCAATAATAGAGTTGTCAGTCTAGTATATTAGTCCAAGCTTGCATCTGCAGAGTTCCCATTAGTCTAAATTCTTGGCCATCAGAACACCATATCAGATGTGCTTTTTGACACTAGCATTTATTATTTACCAAAACAACCATTCAACACAATTTTTTTAAAAATCACTTTCCTCTATAACACACTGAATTACATATGACGTGCAACAGTTGACTTCGTATAAGTCATACGAGGCTGTATTTGCATTTTCCAATGTTAGCCTCAAAACATCAACTGTGGATGTTGTTGGCACCAACAAATGACATAATTATGAGCCAGACTTTTTTTTGCCATAATTAATTTTTTAAAAAACCAAGGTTTAAGTCATAGACATCCCATCAATGATTTGAATTTTATTACAGTGCAAGCAGGGCAGCATTCCCCATGACTAATACAAATTAAAGGCAGTCTGTTGCAGAGTGCCAAAGTACTGTCATTCTTCATACATTGAGTCTGTTGCAATAAATTTGTATTCCAGTACATTTCATTGTGTCCTTGGACATTTTACATCTCACTTCCTCAAATCCATCTCGGGAGAACCCGGCTTAACTTTGCCACTTGACAACAACGAGAAAAACATAGTCTGACAAAAGATTAGGTTAAGCCAATTTCAATTACACAATTTAGTGACTGTCTATTATGGTAAATAATTGAAACTCCACTGTACACTTACAGACTGGACTCAATTTTATAATTCTACTGAGCAGCATAATGACCTTTTATTGTAATTAAATTGTTGAACTGAATCAATTTCCTGTATTAGGAGCCACACTGGTTGAAAGAGTGACTAGCAGATCCCACTTTATGACAGGCACGTGCATTGTAGTTCAATGAACAAGTGGTACATTGTGTGCTCAGGGGTAGTTCTGTAGGGTGTTAAATCAACGTTACAGAAATAAGAAAGCAAATGTTTATTGGTCACAATGGAAATTATCTGAAACCCCAGGCATAATTTACAATTATGGGGAAATAGGATTAAAAATATGTGCTATTGTCTAATAAACTGGCGGAACAGACTTGATGGACTGAATGTCTTCCTACTGTTCTTATGTTCCTATTTACCAAGATAAAAGGCAACATGAAAACAATGCAGTCATTCTGGAGTCAATACATTGTGATTATGACTTAAACCTGCATCAAGGAAATATTTGCTCTTTTTGTTCCCTTCCAGTAGGAGCTTAAACAGATGCTACTGGTGTGAGATGTATCCTAGGTTTAAATGAGGCTCATGTTCGGTCCCATTGAATCACATCAGCTCTTGGTGAATTCCACATACTCTATGTTGGATGGTGTAAAAAATAACAAAAGCTATCCCCAACCCCCTCCGATTCCCTGATAGAACGTGTAAGCATTTATTTGGAAAACAACTTGATGAAGGTGCTGTACAGATATGTACAGAAGTGTGGGTAGCGACATACAGATAATATATTCACCTGCTGTGGGGGAGTTTTCCTTTCTGGAAATGAAAGGTTTGGCCTGACGCTGCGGAAACCTTTGGCTGTCAGCGACGAGCTGTGAGCATCGCCATTCAGAGCCCCTCTTGGGTTGTCATTAATGCCATAAGACCGCCAGAGATCTGCAAAGGACAAGGTAAAACCTGGGTTACTTTACCCACTGTTTGTTTTTACTGTAGATTTTATTGGAAGGGCTAAAAGGAGAACATCCTGTAAATAGGCTGCTGGGACCCTGCATTTGTTGAGGCAACTCTCACTTACACCACCTCAGGTATATGTCCAAAGGTCGTTGTTCATCTTACTGACTGACAAGGGAAACTAGATCCCATTCACATCTGTGCACAAACCTACATTCCCCACCCCCCAAAATGAACAAAAATAATGAAATATTAACTGGAGAGTACACTCTCCTCTCCTTGTGCGATGCGAACAGGGAAGAAATGAATAGAGACAGAAATCTCTCAGCTGATGTAATCACATCTTCCTACAGTTTTTAAAATACCGCTGAAAAAGAATTGGTTCCCATTAGGATCAGAATACAGATAGCTACAATTTGGTTATTCACTATAGACTTTCTTGGTAAAGCAATCCAACATGACTTTCCAGCCAAGATACACTTAAGAGTTCATATTCTTCTGAAAAATAAACACACGCATTCTCACATGCATACACACATGCATACACACAGTTGGCTCATGTCCTAAGCCATTTTAATTCTGTCTAAGGTCCCCTCTCCAGAATCCGGATGTTTTTCTAGTGTTTTTCTCAGGAGGCAGGAGTTAAATCTAACTGCAGGCAGAATGAAATTATAACAATCCAGAAAAAGTCAGAAGTAATGATGAAAAATAATTGGGTTTGGTGCAAACCTAAGTCCAGTTATCCAGTTATCTAAGTCTGCTTATCTAGGCCAATTACTAGTTTCATTTTTAGCATAACTTTTGTTGATGACGATGACAATCAGATTCCTATGAATGTTGATTTTATATCTATATCTATATATTGTATATAATAATAAAATCAAAACATTGCTTACATTTGCAATTTCAAATCATGGCTCACCGTTAATTTATTGCATCTTCTAATAGCCTCACCTACTGTTTGAGAGGAGGGGGAGAAGGCCCCTGTACTTTTTGAAAATAAAATAAATTTCCTAACAAATAAACTCTTCTGCTAAGTTTTGGGAAGCATGCATTGCTGGTGCATTGTTAAGAAATGTAGCTTGTAATGTTGTATATTTCTTATAATAATAATAATAATAATAATAATCCTTGCATTTGATATAGCGCTTTTCACGTCAGGAGGACGTCCCAAAGCGCTTCACAGAACACACTGTAAAGTGAATTGACTGTATATTTGTGGGCGAACGCGGCAGCCAATTGCGCACAGCAATGTCCCACAAACAGTCGTAGATTGAAAATGACCAATTTATTATTGTTTTTGTTTTTTTGGAGGGATTATTATTAGGCGTGTGGAGTAAGGAAACTTGCCCAAGGTTTCGCCCTGCCTGGAATTGAACTCAGGTCTCTCACTTGCAAAGCGAGTGCTCTAACCACTGAGCTACAGGACTCCACAGGTTCTTGTACAGGTTGAGCACCAATTCCCCTCAATAAATTCTGGCTGGAGTGGTATCACAGTTCTAACTTTTTGAAGTAATTGACATTGTGTCATTCATTAACTAGAATTATGTTCATAACATGCCACAGTTACAGAACACAAGCCTGCCAGCAACGGCATTACATCCAGAACATTGAGCAAATTGGAGATCCAATTAAACCTCTTGGTGGTGTAAAATACCCAAAGGACCTAAGCATCGGATGTTCCATGTGAAGTTACATATATGGAACATGATCTGGATAATTTAATTATGGTGATAGGCTTTCCACATGTGTCAGGCACACAGCTGACCAAAAAAAATCTAAAGGACCAAGATGGATTTATTTGAGTTGAGCAGCATTGAGTTCATGAGTGTTTAAAGTCTGTAGCTATGGACGACCGTAGAAAGGAAATCTACAGACTGATACCCACTGGAATTTTTAATTGGAACTTCTTGCTGATCACTGCCCCTTTTGTAAAATAAAATGAGCAAAGAAGTGAAAGAGATCCCACAGGACATCATTATAATATTTGGCTGGCTTTTCCAAGCAAGTAACTATCTTTACCTGAATCTGGTGCCTGTGCTTCATAACCTTAAAGAAAAGAAAATGACACAATGAGCATCTATTCATGCAGAGAGGTACAGTCTACACAATAGATTTCACATAAAATAATAAATAATAATAATCCTTATTCTATATATATTATACAAAATTTATAAGAATGTTGTTGCCTTACCATCTTCCCAAATGTAACAGGATCACTTGAAAATTAACCATACCCATGTAACTACCACGTTATTAATAGAACTGTAAAAAAAATCTTTTTTATAGTTATCCTTCAACGTCAAAATGTACAGTTAGTTTTTAGTTGCCTAAACACTGAAATGAAAAGTGCACCATGAGGCACACATCAACACAATCAAATGAGAGGTGACAGATTTTATATTGGACCATGAAATTAATTCAATGATCATATGAAAGCCTGCTTCTAAGGTTCTGTATTGGTTTACTGTCTAGTCATTTTCAATATTGCTTAGCTAATTTTTGTTAAGAAAGAAAGACGTATCAGTTGGTAAATGTTCTTTTCCACCCAGTGCAGTAATCAACAAACAATTAAAATGTACTGAAACTGAAGTGAATTGAACCTTTTAGTGGTACTGTCATGACCCTATAAAATACTGCAAATCAAATTAGATGACTCAGAAAACCAAATAAATGCATTCAAACGCAACCTTTAGCAAGTTGAAGATATGGTCTAATGGTTATTGTAACAATTAGGCCACTTGAAAATTTGGCATGAAACTTGCTTAACATTTGGATGGGACTTTGATTGAGATGTTAGTGAATCATAAAGTTGGGAAAAATAACTTGATTTGCTGGGGGCATTTGCTTAGCACATCCTGGATTTGCTTCTACATCTGAACATTGTTGCACACTTGCTCCAAATACTTAAATGCAGGATAAGGAACGTTCACACGTCAAATTTTCAATGCCTTATAAGACATACCAAAAAAACTGTGTTTTGTACTTTTAATTGAAACAATTAACCATGCAGCTTAAAATGTTATAATTCATGTTGTGTCACAAAATTAAGAAAATGTTATTCCATGTACATTATACTGTATAATGACTTATTTGGAGCAGTTTGTTCTAATTCATGTATAACTACCATCCCCCCACCCACCCATGACTGCAAAAATAGTGAGTTGCTACGTTATTGTTTTGGTTAATAATTTACTAAATATGCTCAGAGAGTGATCACAAATCATTCCCATAGCAGTTTATGCGTCAATGCAGAGCTTTAATGGAAACCATCAACTGATAGAATATTTATTTATATTGAACAATTCATAATTACATCACTAGTACAACTACATCATCTATCAAGAGCTGGCATTAAAACACTGAACTTCCTAGCTCTATAGCCCTGATGGATTTTGGCACATTTGTACATCAAGATATTAAAAGGGTCAAAACTGAAGAACACATTGATTTCAACATCCCTGGAAGGTGCTGAAAATTCGAAGAAGAAAGAGCAACAGTTTACATGATGAATGAGTGTTAATCATCAAAGATGTAATAAAGGAAAAAGGTTTGGATAGGATTTTTATTATTCACTGAAAATTTGCAATCAGTATGAAGCTGCCATCAACAAGTCTATTCAAATACCCGGATTTATCTCTCTCAAATGCATTTGATGAGGAGACAATATAAATGTATTAAAGTTGCATAAAATTACTGTTGAGGACACATTTGAAATGTTGTCTGCACTTCTGAGATGCTGAAAGCTTAGATAATGCAAGTAGACTACTGGATTCTTGTTGTTGTTGGATTTAGACAGTGAGTACCAAAACAAAGGATAATTATTTAAATTAACAAGGCTCCAAACTACTGCAACAATTAAACAAGTAAGATTAGAAGAAACCTCTGTTACTTGAAGATGTTTTAAAACTAGACATTTATGACTTAAATAACCTATTCAAAATAAGCATAATTAATTTCTGGTTTCAAAAGCAATTGGAAATCACAGGGATGCTGATTGAGCGCAAATACTGCAAGGGACACAATGCTTCAAGCTGCATTCTTGGCATGTGTTGATGGGAATGTTGTCTGTAACAGACAATGGCTGGGTTAAACAGGGAAGATGAATAAATATTCTGGAGTTTTGGTAGATTGCCTTTAAGGGTTAAGCAACAGTTCTTTAGACCTCTCTATCTGGAGGTTAATTGGAAGGGTAGAGTCCCATGATCTGTGAAAGGAAAATACTTGACGAATAAAAGGACATCAGCATTTGAAGCACAGTATTGTATTCCTGTCTTAAAAGTAAGTTACCAGTTTGGTAATATTTATTTTTCACTTTCTTATGGATCTCCTTGGATCTTGAAATCATTTAATGGACAGCTGACGTGGTGCCAGGGCTGAGAGGTTTCTGCTCTTGGGTTGGCTATTTGCAGCAAAAGCTCAAAGTATGAGGTACCAATAAACAAGTGTGTGAGGGCTCTTGAGGCAGTGCAGAGGAAAGGAACAAGATGCATCCTCAATGTTATGTAAGGTTTTGATAGAATAAGAAGAAACTGTGTCCACTGGCCGTTGGGTCAGTAACCAGAAGACACAGATTCAAAATAATGGGCAGATCCCAGAGGGGAGATGAGGAGAATTTATTTTACACAGAGAGTTGTTTCGATCTGGAATGCACTGTCTGAAAGGGTGATAGAAGCAGATTCAATACTAATTTTAAAAAGGGAATTGGATATTTACTTGAAAAGAAAAAAATTGCAACTCTATGGGGAAAGAGTGGGGTAGTGGAACTAATTCATTAGCTCTTTCTAGCACAGGCATGATGGCCCAAATGTTCTTTCTGTACTGTAGGATTCTCTGTTAGAGGGATACCCTACAAGGAATACCTAAATAAACTAGGGTTCTTCTGCTTTGATGAGAGATGGGTCAGAAGCAATCTTGTAAAGATACACAAAATCAGAACAGGGTTTTCAGCAAGATGAAATCCAGGTTGTGAAAGATAATTTTAGAACTTTTTTTTTTACAGAGAGTAATCAGCAGCTGGAACAGGTTACCAAGAGCGATGGTTGAGGTCAGGGTTCTGTTTTACAAAACACCTCAATACTGTAATAGGAAGATGAGATCAAATGGATCAAAAGGTCTTCTTTGTCTGAACGCTCCTGCGAGGCCAGCATTGATGGACACAATTTTGCCTCCGTCTCTCCTTTCCCGGTGTGGGGGAGGTGGGGAGGTGTCCAAGTTTTACTTGGTGTTGTCTTCTCGTGGCCCAGCTAAATTAAGAACTCACCATGTGGTTAATTGTGAACACAAACATGTTACGCCCCTATGTGCCAGTGCGCCAGATCACCACCGGGTCACCATCTGTTAATAATATATGCCACATTGTGAAGTTTTGAAATGTTGTTTCTCACTGAAATGGTGGATGATTTGTTTGACATGGAGGTCATATATTTTCACTGAATGTGAAAGTCTCTCATGATGTGGAGCAAATAGTATTTCCAACAATGCAACTCAATACCTCAAGATACATTGAGTCACACAGCAAGATCAGTAATTGTTTTCACTTTACATTAGAAGCAGATTTATTCTTTGGCAGTAGATGGGGAGTGATTTACCTGCGTGGAATATAAATCAATAAACTAATGAAACCATTCAGATAACTTCATGAACTGTGATAGTAAAAGTAGTAATTTATAGTTATGATCTGAATCATTGTATTAGATTGCAGCCCTAAAAAGACTTAATTTTAATTAGTTTTATTCTGTTTTATACATTTGGTTGTCAACATAGTACTTGTCAGCATATCAATGCAGGCAGTTCTTGACTCCACATCTTTGACACACCAATATATAGAAACACAGGAACTTAGAACAGCCCAAATTACATGTCTTTTCTCCATATTCTTCCAATTTACTCATTTTTAGATATCCATTTCCCTTTTCAAAGAGAATATACATTTTGCTTCGACAACTACACTCAGCAGAGCAATAACTCGCAATGTGAGAAAAATCTCTCCTTTGCTCATTATCTCAAATGAAGCCCTCTCCCCATTGAATCAGGCAAGAAACATAACTCATAAATTTATGAAGAAACAATCTGTAGCTTATTATCAGGCAATTTAATATCCAGTACTGTATATACACACCCATAAAGATTAATTGTAACTAATCACAAAGCAATAATTTAAATTAGAGATTTAGATATTAATTGAGGAGATCGAAGTACAGCAGATATCCATTGTCAGGCTGAGGAGCGCTAGATAGTGTTTTGCAACAATAATTTGCAGCTATATAGCACTCACACATGAGAAGAATATCTAAAAGATGTGCTTTCAGATGGTTTTGAAAGCTGTGAGGGAAAGAGTAAGTTGAAGTTCAGTTAGACAAGCAGCAGGATGCTTGCCAGGCAAAGCTTGCAATGGCAAGCTAAATAGATTTAGCTGGTTAAACTCCAGCAGTATTAAAAAATCTGAAGGTTATCCTTCACCCCAATCTGAAATGACTTTCATGCTTTGACACTTGCAGAATTGCAGAAATTTACACAGTTCAGCTCCGAAAGCCGCACACGTTGTTTGATGCAGCTTAATTGAGTTTGGGTACCCTGAGGTATAACCAACAGAGAGTAAATAGTGTGGAAAATGTGTGAGGTGCAGTTATTTCATTCTAGGTCACTGCACTTCTCCAGTTTCATTTATGTGAACTTAAATATTTTCATCTAAAATCTTGATGTTAGATGTAATTCCCTAAATGGCATCAGTTGAAGTTTCAAACTATAAGAAAAAAAACCTAGATGTTCATTTATTATTGGGATATAAAATACAACGATTTTGAATGGGTTTTCTTTTGCAATCTACTTTCAGGGCAGAGTTGCAATAAATCTGTATGATGTACAATTGGTTCTCAGAAAACGACTGCATTCAGACTCCTTAATTGAGGTTTGAGATCTGAGGTATTCCTGATCAATTAGAGTAAAGCACAGCCAGGGTTACTTTTAGTTGTAACTTGCAGAAATTATAACATTTGGCATTGATGACAATGGCATATTTGTTAAATACTGCAAAAGATAATTCATCATGTATGACCTCAACTAGGTCATTTCCAAAGTGATAATTTTGATGTAATTGCATTGGTGATGCTTTGCAGGGATAAAATCTACATTTAACATCTATTGCAATAAACTACAGTATTTTACTATGACGTTTTGAAAAACACAGGCTGACATAAGCATAATTGCAAGGTTAGACTGAATTCCCGACCCAGCAAAAATGCACAAAATCATAATTGTGATCTAAGCATAAACCTTGCCCAATTATTGGTCTTTTCATTTCTCAATGTGCTGAATACTTGAATTCCAGTTATCCCTTGCATGACAACCATGCTGTACAAAGTAAAATATTTTATCCAAAGTGTTTGAATCTGATTCAGTTCCAACTTAAGTGATTAAACGAGCTAGGTCACATCACTTTTTTGTATAAATTTAAAATCAGTCCAAAAAATTCTGATTACCACCATATTTTGACTTGGCAAATAGTTATGTATTTCTCATAATTCTGCTGAACAATTGGTAGGAATCTTCCTTCAAACAAACTGACAGAGAAATGCTTTGTACTTCCTTAACACTGCACAGGAGTGTAAAACTAAAGTGTTAACACCTGAGTGAGGCTAAATTGCACTATGTGGCCTGAACACAAGGACACATCACAGTGCACCTAAATGTTGCAGTTGCAACAGGGCAATGCAATATGGTACCTCAATGACTTGTGTGTATTGTACTGGTAATACTACCATCTGCTCCCTTCAAAGAACAAAGATAACCCAGCGGATCAACTCCAAAGTGAAAGCACTTTTGAGACTTTTCAACATGAGGAATTTAGTAATTACAATGAATGGTTTGATCGTAAAGTGATTTGCTGAAGGTGACGCACTGGCATGCCAAGAACCAAGAGGTATAATGCAGCAGTCTGACCTCTGCCAGAGGCTCTGTCCAGTTGATCCAGTGAATTCCGCAATTGGCAATTATTCTTTTGAATTCAATTTCCAGAATTTACAACTTCCACAGTCAAACTTGCTGTTTGTTAAGTGCAGTAACTGTGTATGCGTTGACAGATGTTTTAAATACCATCTGAGACCTGGCAGGTAGAGGCTGAATTAATGAAATACCTATGGAAATATCCCAGGCCACCTTCTTCTCCTCCTCCACTGCAATATAGCCAATAATGTTATCATACCCAGGCTGAACACATTAAATGTTGGTTATCAATAATCACCAGAGCATCCAGTGAAATCTGACTAGAAAATGATTGACTCAGAGTCAAGGACATCCACATACTACACACCCACACCACCAATAAAGAAACCTTAGGCATCTCTATCTAACAGCTTATGTAATGACATTATGTGGAAAGGAAAATTGTATTGGGACCGAAGTTGAAAATAGCTCATCTTTAGAATTCCTATCAAATGTTAAAGCTGGAAATCAACAGCAGCAATTATGCAAGTCACTTTTTGCATTTTTACTTTGCCTTAAGGATACTTCAACTATTCCCACTGTTTAATTCACTAACACCAGTGATACAACTCTTCTCAATGTACCCTCACAATGCTGCAAGCCTGCTCCTTATGGGAAAATTATAACATAAACACCCAACATTCAGCCTTTGTTTACTGCACACATTAATCCCTAACATGAGCGACTTCCACCCCCCCTAAGGATCAGAGCAATATAAATCAATCACTCATCAATGGTTCTTCACTGGAGATTGACTAACCGATTTAAAAATTTGCAAATATATTATTTGTTTTATTCCCTCCTTAAAAGAAAGTAAACATATATGATAAAAGAATAATTCGCATCCTGGAATAAATTCACCTGGATTCTTAAAGAGCAAAACATGTTAACTTTTGATAAATTATCAAAATATGCAATCAAATTGAGCAGGACAATTCCAGTGCTCGCTCCTGTGTTACACATGCTAGTGTTAGTGTTAATACCTTCAGCCAGCAGCAAGTTTGGAGAACTCTGTACTCTCTTCACAGAGGCTAATTTAACAGATGTAGCGGCACGTTTGCGAGCATAGCCACCACTATCTGAAAACACAGAACCACACAGATGCAGAGCATACACGTCAGGCAGAACACGCAGGTGCAGCAGCAATATTACATGGCATTCAAAACTCAAACGTTATCAACATGCAGGAAATGCAGTTACTGATCAGAAAAACGTGCAGTCAAATCATTAGAGATACAAATCTGAGGCAAGCAGACGTTTTTGAAAACCCTGTCACAACTTTAGGCATTTTGTGAGACCAGTGGTAGGAGATGTGCAGTACAAACTCAAGGATGGAGGCTCCTGCTCAAGCTCACTGTCAGGCTGAGCTCAGCTATGGTGTTATGGGTTAGAGCTCTGGGTGTGAGGGAACACCCATCCGATATTCTAAGTTGCTCTTACTCTTATTGAATTATGTGATCTCTCCTGAGACAATAAGAATGATGCTCAAGTGGAGGCAACGTTCATACACTGGTGCTGACATTTACATGTCACCCTTTGTGCTGCCTCCACTTTCTTTTTTTCAAAATTTGTATTTAGTACCATACATGCCCTGAACCAGTGATATCACAAACAATGATAAGGTCTTTCAAAGTGGGAAGTCATTGCACATGTGATCTGAAGACATCCCACTTCTCTGTCAACACCACATATGACAGCAGCACAGGGTAAAGGCACAGAGTTCCTTTGGTGCAAGAACGGTCATGCCATCTGTGCCAGCAGCTCATGGCAGTGGCAGTGAGGGCTGGCATCATGGGTGTTGCTGAGAGGGAAAAAACATAGCCTAGGGTTAAGTAGCCTTCTGATCATTTGAGCTGCAGGTGATGTGCAATGCAAGGAGACCAAATAAAAGGAAGAAAAACAAGGAGGAAAACAAACAAGATAAATGACAAAAGAAAAAGCAGTTTATGAACTGAATAATATGCTAATATTTGGAAAGTATTTTGACAAGAACAATTAATCAGACTGGTAGTTTCTAGATGGGCTGTTTTGTAAGCTGTCCAAGGGCAATCACTGCCTTCCAGACAATTATCATGGAAATTGCAGAGCAGCTCAGAAACCCATTGGTGGAGCGTGGGAGGTGCAGGCGTGGGCAAAAGCAAGAATGAAGGGGGAAAAAAAGCAGGAGTGATGGCAGTCTTCCAATCGGTTAAAAACTTCCATACATTTTCTCAATACTTTTACAAACTTTTCAAAAACATTTCGTTCACCAAATACACTTTGCGAAAATCTCACTGCAACATTCATTTGGGAGTACATTTCCTCCCACAAGTATGTAGGCGGTGTCCACTCACCTCAACAGATCTGAAATAAAAGCATTTTCTAGGCAATTGAAATTCAAGAGGTTTCAGCTTCTCCAAATTATGCAGAACCATTATAAAAGCAAAGTGACTAATGTAAATGTGTGATAATTTGGCTCTATTATACCTGATGAAACAATGATTAAGGTGGGAGGTACCACCGAGGAGTATTTTAGCCTGAAATTTCTAACCTGAACATACACAAGAACAGCATATAAATTTGACCGGATCATAATTTTTCCAAATGTGCTCTGAAAAATCATTTGATCTGCCCATCAGGAGGGGATCTTTTTATAACAGATTTTGCTCTACCAGTGTGTAGGTAACCTGCATCTAAAATTAAATTCTATTGTTTACCTGTTGCTTTTGAAATCATAATAGATCCATTACCTGATAATGTGGTTATATTAAGTACCTTTTTTGGTGCATTATTTCAGCTACCTCCAATTGCACCCATCTTAATATTTGATATCTGGATAAATCACTTAACTTTGGTTCCCATCATGCCCTGCAGTTGGCTGGGACATTTTATTAATCCTTGGCTAACAATTTTAGAAACAAGAAATGTAACTTCTGGGGAAAAAATGCTTGCACTCAATGTTTGTCCAAGTAACACATTTACAAGGAAATCTACTGGCCTTTAAATCTCTTCAACAGAACCATTTCCAAATTCTCATCAGAGCTGTTAATATTAATTTTATTCACCATTACACCACTAGAAATTTCATCAATATTTTGTGGTTTCTTGTTGTAAATAAAAATGCTAAACAGATGATTCCCTGATCAGTGGTAAATTCATGAACAGTGATGAACTATGGTAATCACCACTGGTTTATACATTTGCATACAATGGCATTGGCACTCTAAGACTTGTTGATGACAGACAAGGCAGCCTGGCCTGTCAGCGGGATGTGTAGGGGCAGACTTGTCACCAGTGATTCTTCTGACTCAACCACAGTTAACTTTGCAAGCCAAAGATTTAACATGTAGAAGGCTCCCAAATGGACAAGCACCAGGAAGCTTGCTAGGCAGTCTGCATGCCAGCTAGATATGCAGGCATGCATGCTAGTTCAACTCCAGCAGTACCCCAATATATTCTGGACTCCCCAACCTTTGGCTACTGCCAACCTATGCTTAATATGCTCTGGAATTAGGGTTCAGCTCTCCATTCCAGACCAATGGGAAACTTGCAGTCTGTCTAGTTTGAAATCTCTTAAGCCTGGCGATGGTTTTCCAAATGTAGCAGACACCCGACTAACCCCTCCAAAATTACATGGAGTGAAATTATTTTTACAATAGTGCTTAGTCCAAGTCAGTGATTCTGAATTAATGGAATAACATAATGGACCCAACAAAAATATGTTGTCAACATTACAAAAAAATTTCTATGGTGTTTTCACACCATGAAATAAGACGATAGAAATTGGGGAAGAACCAAAACTAATCTGTTGCTATTTCATCCACTGAAACTTGCAGCTCACACCACAATTTCTTGCTCTTTTTTATTCTTCCTCCTGAAATGTTGATCCAATCATCTTTTAAATGATGTGCAGTGAATCACAAGCAATTTGCTGAAATCTTTACAATAAAAATTATCACAGTTAATCACCACATCTGATGGGACGACAAGTCTAGATTCATAATAATATAACCTGGGAAAGAGTGAGGTCTCAGCTTCAATCACCAATTTGTGGCAAAGCATTTACCAAGCCAATTATAATCAGCATAATATGATCCTATTAGGGTTGCAATATCAGTGCTAATATAGAAGTGCAAAGCTATTTAAGCTGTGCTGTGGCAACCGTGTACAATTTCCTTCAATTGTGCCTTGGGACGCCCTCCCGACGTGGAAGTTGCTATCTAAATGCAATTTGTGTTGTTGTTGATTTACAGTGAGTTGCCGGATCATTAAAAAAAGCCTTTAAAAATAAATAACTTCATCCTATATGCAAGCAGGGCAAAATCCTGTTCAAAGCATTTAATTACAGTTTTTAATATTAGAAAAGTCCTGTTATAATAACAGAGCTCGTCCAGCTGATACCTTCACATGTGTAGTGAGTCACAAGCAATTTTGCTGAAACCATTACAATAAAAATAATGACAGTTTATCACCACATCTGATAGGACCTCAAGTCTAAACTCATAATAATGTAACTTGGGGAAGAGTGAGAAGGTTTGAAGATCATTAAAAAAAAGTGTTTTGGTATATTTCCTAAAATATTAGGTCCCCCCAAAAATGCTACTATAATTTGCTTTAAAAGGTTAATTTTGACCATTCATATCAGTTTAAGGTGTTAAAAATCAAACAGGGTAGATTTCACTTTTCTAAATTCCCTATGCTTTTTTAAAAAATATTATCAGTAACAATTTCCAATTCTCACACCTGCAACAAAATTTAACAGAATTCCCAATTCTTGCGCCTGTAACAAACATGCTTCACCTAAACCACAAGATGTGACGTGGGGTAAGTGGGGCTTTTAACCATATATGATCAAGGAACACAACTTGTGCTGAAAGAAAAGGGAATAAATGGGTCCATCTATTCCTGCTGTTTGTCAGTTACCTACCAATGTAAAAGTGTAACAGCAGGTCTAAGAGGCAATAGTGCTTTACTGTCGTTGATGTAAGTTGTGGTGGGTGGGAAGGAGAAAAAGAGAGAAATAAACTAAAGATTATAAAAATGAGTTTAATGGAGGGAATTTTTTATTTAGATTAAAATTTTGTTTCTAGATTCTATGACCAGGATTAATTTTGAAATCTTCCCAGAACTCTAATACTTGGGCTAAAAGAATAACAACATTAAAAGTAGCTTTCTGCAATTTACAATTTACGGGTTAAAAAGGGCATTTCTCATTACTGCATACATTTATGTTTTGAGTACAACAGTTTTTTGTGTATCTAGCATACATGCACAGTCAGATTATAAATACAAGATTTCTTACCTTTTCTTCCTTTTTAAAGTAAATGGTGTTTGACTTCCATCTTTACACTGAATTTCCTTCAGCTCATACAGCAGTCCTAACTAAGGATAGATTAATGCAAACAACATGCTTAGCCTAATCAGGGAGAGAATTTAACATACCTGTATTCATTGTGACAAGGAGACTCACTTAAGGCGTTATACTGGAAAGTTTCAGTTTACCCTGAAAAATAAATAGAGTACAGCTGTTTTACTGCAATCCAGAGCAAAGCTCAACCAAACATGGCAATGTAAAACAATACAAGAATCTTTGGTGATTTAGAGCAGCAAACCGACAGATCATTCATTCTGAAAACCCTCCTCATTGAGATATGGGATTCCAACCTTGTTTATCAAAAAAGATTGGAATTCATACTATTTAATTGCAATAGCATTAATCTCCTATTATTGCTGCTGTATAATCATTCAAAATAAACACACACACCAGTACCCAACATAACTGTTATAAATCCATTACAAAGGAATGTAAAATCATATTCGAAATTTCAGTACTGTATTTTACTTTATTTTTAATACTGTAGTCTTAAATGGATGCAATTTTTTGACAATCTCTCTTACATTTGTTATCAGTGATCTAATTTCAAGAGAAATTTGTGGTTTTGGGAGCAGATAGCAAGCAGTTTTCAAGCGATCACAGCCCAAAATATCAGTATGTAATCAAGAATGTCTAGATTCTTGAATTGTGACCAAAAATGATTGTACAAATTTCTTGGAGGATTAACTTTCGCTTAAACATATTACAATGAATCAGACTAAAATCTACTTGAAAATAATATATTTTAAATGTTCTGCAAATCCTTAAACCTACTAAGGAGATGATACAGATATTTAATCATGGTAGCAGCTATGATATTTTCCTAGTACTGGGATATAGTTCTAAGAGTTCCTATCATCCTCCAGTAACTCCCCAAATAGCTATTATTCATATATGACTGCTTGGGTAGCAAAGGTGGCCAGTGTTAAACTGTGGGTAGCCTCATAGCTCAGCTTAATTCTGTCCAAAGCTGGCAGATTTGCCCCCCCCACCCCCAAACCTAGTCCACTCAGCCCAACTGTAGGACCTCAACTGAAAAGCCAACTGACTACAGTAATTCAAAACTGTGACATTCCTGTTTTAATGGCTTAACTCTGAATTCTTCCAGTGGCAATTTTGAGCTTGTGCCCTGGTTACCAATTTAGCAAGTAGGGGAACTAATCTTTCACTATTTAGCCTCTCAGAATTTTGCATACTTCTATCAGTTCTCCTCTTAATCTCTGCTCCAGTGAAAACAGACCCATCTTTTATTAATCTATCTTCGCCTCTGCAATCATCCATATTACTTCTTGGTTTTTGCCATCAATCTGCCTACAAAGCAAACAAACACATGCAAACATGAGGCAACTTGAATTCATTCTCTGGTTAGGTAGTGGATAACTCTTCCCTTTGCTAAGAGGAATCCATTACAAGAGGACAGAGCCATAAAATCAGAACCAAGGCAGTCCTCATTTCAGGAAACATTTCTTCACTGTATGTGAAGATGTGGAATGATGTGCCCCAGAAAGCTGTGGAGAGAGAATCAATAGGAATGTTTAAAAGAGAGATACTTGGGTAGTGGCGGTACTAAGGGTATTGGAGGTGCATTGGGAGTAAAAGATTTTATAAACTGAATAGCCTCCTCATGTTCCCATTTTCCAATGTTTCTATGAAACACCTACTATGAATTTATTCCATTCTGTCAATTAATAAAGGAAATGTGAACATTCACAGATTAGTATATAATCAACTAAAAAGCAACACAGGCTGAGTTTTTTGCCTCAGAGCATTAATTTTAAAATTACTTTTAAAAAACATTACATGACATATTAATACATTGTTTGATGCATTAACTTCTCATGATGCAGTTTCTTTATTCAAAATGTCTATATACTCTGCAGTGTTTACAAACGTGGAGCCCTGTAGCTCAGTGGTTAAAGCACTTGCTTTGCAAGTGAGAGACCTGGGTTTGGTTCCCGGCAGCATGAAACCTTGGGGAAGTTTCCTTACTCCACATGCCTGATAATAATCCCTCAAAAAAAACAATAATAAATTGGTCATTTCAATCCACGACTGTTTGTGGGACACTGCTGTGCGCAATTGGTTGCCGTATTTCGCACACAAATATACAGACAATTCACTTTACAGTCTATTATGCGAAGCGCTTTGAGACGTCTAGAAGACGTGAAAAGCGCTAGATCAAATGCAAGGATTATTATTATATCTAAATGAGAAATTTACTCCCATATAACTTATTTCTTGAAATACACTTTAATGTATTGAGCGAAAATACCTATACTGATTCAGCCTTAAAAACAGCAAACTGCTAACATTCTTCAAATGTTTCCCTTTGCCAAGAAAGTCAGGAGCTAACCTTTATTTTTTTTTCTAAACTTGGACTTGAACCAATGTTTAGCACCACATTAAGAAAGTAGCAGTGGAAGTCGGCAAACAGCAATGACTGGAATCTCAGATTGCTGCACGCAACATTAGTCACCCTCACAGATCCTCGAGGTAATGAGGAGAGCAATTAGACAGATCCTCAACATTGAAGGGTTGAGCTATTACGAGTGACTCAATGAGCTAAGGCCTAAGACGAAGGTTGCTCAGAGGGAAGGTATTTAACATTGATAAATGGAATAGAAAAGATAAACCCTGAATAGTACTTTCAGTTAGACCAAGGGATTATTCCTCCTTTTAATACCCGCTGCCAAGGGGAGAGTCATTTTCCTAATACTGCCCAAAGAGAGGAACAGTTACGGCATCTTCCTTGCTTCTATCCAAAGCCATACTCGTCAATTGCATTGTACGTCATTATTACCCCGATCTCCACTCTCGTGCTTTGTCATCACTTCAGTTGTACTATGATAGTTTGGTCGCTCTTTCCTGACTTGCACCATCTCCATCACGTGCATTGTCTTTGTCACATGTTGCGGTTCATTTTTTCCTGAACATGGATTGCAATGGATCGTTAGTGATGACCTCATTGATCATACAAATCATTTCACTTCATCACAATTATCTATTTAACATAACATAACATGTAGGAGCAGGAGTAGGCCATTCGGCCCTTCGAGCCTGCCCCACCATTCAATCATGGCTGATCTTCTCATCTAACTCCAGCTAATACCATAACCCTGCCTTATCCCCATATCCCTTAATCCATTTTGCAATAAGAAATCTATCTATCTCAGTCTTGAATTTGTTCAAGGACTGAACGTCAACAGCCCTTTGGGGTAGCGAGTTTCATACATTCACCACCCTTTGAGTGAAGAAGTTCTTCCTCAACTCAGTGTGAAAGGGCTGGCCTCTGATTTTAAGGTTGTGACCCCTGGTTTTAGTTTCTCCAACCAAGAGAAACAATCTCCCACTATCTACTCTATCATGCCGTTTGATGATCTTATAGGTTTCTATAAGATCCCCTCTAATTCTTCTATATTCTAGAGAATATAGGCCCAAATTGGTCAGCCTATCCTCGTAACTCATCCCCTTCATCCCTGGTACTAACCTAGTAAATCTGCGCTGCACCCCCTCCACGGCAAGTTCCACAATGTCCAGTTTCTGAGCCCAAAACAGCTCTCACACCATTTTAAAAACCTGCCAAATGCGTCCAGCGCCTTGGGACATCCTCCCGACGTGATAGGCGCTATACGTGCAATTTTGTTGTTGTTGTCGTCCTCTTTCTTCGCCCCTTTTTCTAGTGCTGCTGCTCATCTCTAGGTTCCCTCCACGCGGCCGGCTCCAGCCTGCTTCACGTCCCCCGACCCACCATTGGCAGGAGAGCCTTTAGCCACTCTGCCCCCAACCACTGCAATTCCATCCCCCAGTCACTCTGCCTCGCCCCTTCCTTAGCCTCTTTCAAGTCCCACCTCAAAACCCTCCTCTTCGACCATGCCATCGGCCACACCCCTTCCCTTCCCATCCCTTAACCCCCCAACCCCAGCTCAGGGCTGAAATGCTGTATACTGTCCAGCGCCTTGGAACATCCTCCCGATGTGAAAGGTGCTATGCAAATGTAATCTTGTTGTTGTTTAAAGATGCAAAGTACCAAGCATCTTGGAGTTCAGTGAATCCAGTACACTTCATATCAATTTTTCTATCTTGGAGATTAATGAAATTGTTTGGGCTTGTTTATCCAGAAGTTATTTCTTCAGACAATAGAATGTGAAAAGCAATATTTCAAATCCATCTCCCACGTTGCTTTGTTGTGTATGCTATTGCACATAATGTTTTTCCCCTCTTCTGAGTGAAGCTGTTCTCGATACCCAGGCTATTGCTATTGAAGTAAACATCAGAGATAAAATGACCGTGATGAACAATTTGCCTCAGTTTGTCAAAGGAGCAGATTTCCATCTGATCTTAAAATAACATTCCTTGTCATAAGTAGAGCCTCATTAATGGTTTGAGCGACCATTGGATCGAACGTCCTTCTAAAACTGAAACACATTTCCACATCTGAATAATGTTCCTGTGTCTGAATGTTTACCTACAATTATCCTGATTGTTCTGCTGTTAATTATTACAAAATGTTAGCTGCAGATTTCTGCTTGAGGTACGCAAAACATCTGCAGCATTTTGGCAAATGATACTCAGATTAAGTAAATGTTTTTTTTAAACCATAAAAAAACTTATGTGCTTCGTTTATACTTTAGGATTTGCTTCCAAACGTGCAATATAAAATGGGGGGATACAAGTCAACTTGAATATCACTGAAACCTCACTTCTGAAAAACTCATGGCAGAGGCAATGTGAGGAGCAGGGTAATTTGCAGCTGTACATTAACAGTACAAGTTTGGTGGGGGCAGAGGGTATGAAGTAAACAGGGCTTGCTCACCTATCCTCTGTTCAAAACTCATAAGCTGTCCATTAGACAGATCCCTGGGTAGAATTTAATATGAAAACTAATAATTCTTGCATTTGATATAGAGCCTTAGCATTATCGTCAAATATCTCAAAGTGTTTCACAGGATTTTACTGTAGAGTGTGATGAATGTATTTGTAGACAAACGCAATAGCCAATTTGCAGACAGCAATAATAATGGTTGGATTTGATATAGGTCTTATCATGTCTTTGAGACGTCTCACAGAATATACTGTAAAGTGAATTGATTGTACATTTTGTGGGCGAAACACAGCAGCCAATTGAGCACAGCAGTGTCGCACAAACAGTCGTGTATTGAAGTGACCAATTTATTATTATTTTTTTTATTTTTTTGAAGGAATTATTCCCCCCACAAAAGCGATCCGCCAATTGACTAACAGCCAGATTCCTACTTACTGCTAGGTAAACAGAGGTGTGTGGAGTAAGGAAACATAAAAATTCCTCGTTCTGCTGGGAATCGAACAGAGGTCTCTCATTTGGGAGGTGAATGCCCTAATCATTGAGCTACAAGACTCCACAACAGTCATAAACTTTTCTCTGGGGGATTGTTGGCCACGACACTGAGAGAAACTCCCTTCTCTTTTCAAATAGTGCCATGCAATATTTAACGTCAACATGAACAGACAGATGGGACCTCAATTTATTTCATCCAAAGATACAACCATGCAGCACAATCCATCACTGCAATGAAGTGTCACCTTAGGATGATACCCAAAGCCTGACTTGGGGCTTGAACCCACAACCTTTTATCTCAGAGGCAAGAGTGCTACCCATTGAGCTAGAATGACATTTAAATATAAGAGTCTGCACATTTGTACACAAAAAACACAACACATCTACAGAGTTGATGAGGACTCACTGATAAACATGTAAAATACTAAACAATATTGGGTATGTTTATCTTCAGTCAACTTGCTTAATTCTGAGATAAGTGCTTTAGTTCAACATAAGCGACAACGCTTTGATTTGACAGAAGTGTAAAGAAAGATTTTCAATCCATCATTCACGAATATTATTTTGTACACATTTTACATTTTTTGGAACCATTTTGTCATTGGAAACTAATCTCTATTCTGTTCATGCCAACAATAATTCCACTGCACAGACAGGGAGATTCTCAACAGCATTATTAGAAGTGACAACTTCCTGTAGTTAATACTGCAATCTCCAAACAGATGGTCTACAAGGGTATTTCCGAGTGCTTTTAAAACTGAAACGTCCCCTTGGACTATCAATACCATCACAACAGTCACAGTTGCTATTCTTTTACTTGTGCATTAAAACACAATTTGCAGAAACCAGGAGAAAGGGATGAATCTTTTACATGTTTGGAGAAATTACTATATATACTCAGCATATCATTGTCCAAACTGCTGTCCACATTACAGTCCTGCCACCCAGTCCACATTAGTGTCAGGAAGTAAAGATCATACTAGTATGGAACCTTGTAATAGTGAAATACTTGACTGAAGGAACATTTGTTCAGTGGTGGAATATCATTCTCTAACAATATCTCATTACTAGAAAGGATTCATAGAAAAAATTGTTTCATCACAAATATGTTCCTACTACAAAACGTCTGCCATTCTTTTGTGGAATGCAATAGGTTCCAGTTTAAGTGTCAGCACAGCTTAAGACTCATGTAGTTTTGTGCATTTGCAATTGAGGATGTTCCAACTCAGCCGCTTCAGAGGCAGTGTAGAAAAAACATCCTACCTGCTGTTAGTAGCACTTCAAGATAAGAGTGTTTAATTGAATGCAGTACATTGCATTATTGTGATGCTGATACCAAAAATAACAATAGAGCCATTGATTGGATAAGTGGATAAGATAAACGACAACATACGCAAGGTCAAACTTACACAAACTTTTCTACACTAAACATGAATGCGAACATAAAGAGGCTGAGATAACAATATGTGCAGTAATATCGTGATTTGTAAGCCTTTCACTTTTAAAAATAGATTAAAACATAACAGTCCATTAATGTCTGACAGGTATTTACTACCCCGAAGTAAGCATTTAAAACAGAAACTTCCCCTTAAGCTTTATAATACCATCACAGCAGTGACAGATGTTAGTCTTTTACTTGTGCACTAAAAACGCAATTTGCGGAAACCAGAAGAAAGGGATGAGTCCTTTACATGTTTGGAGGGATTACTGTATTAAACATTAATTTAATGGCCTGCGTCATGTTCCCCGCCTTGTTCTCCCCACTATCGGCGGGCGGGCCTTCCGCCACTTTGCACCCACCCTCTGGAACTCCATCCCACAGCCCCTCCGTCTCGCCCTTTCCCTCGCCACCTTCAAAATCTACCTCAAGACGCTCCTCTTCGACCGTGCTTTCAATCTCCCTGCTTCCCCCCCTGCTCTCCCCCCTCCCCCACCCCGACCCTCAGCTCGGGTCCGTAACTGTCTGTCCAGCGCCTTGGGACATCCTCCCGACAGGAAAGGCGCTATACAAATGTAATTTTGTTATTGTTAATGGCATATCCATTGTCCGAACTACTGTCCACATTATAGCTCTGTCACCCAGTCCACGGTACTAGAAGGTAAAGGTCATACTAGCAAGTAAATGTAAAAAGGCTTGAACAATGTAAGAGTTAATGTTCTGGAAGAATGGGATACAATCTTGTTCTTCTGGAATAGTAACCAGTTAATGTAAAAACGCTTGAACAATGCAATCTGCACAAAATAATCTGTTCCCGATCATTTTTTATCATCTTTTACAAAATGAATGTTTTATTCTGTTGCTAGAAAGTAATTGTTATTATAAAAATAAAGCAAATGAGCAGCTGAACTGGAGTAAGTTTGCTATTTTGCACTGAATCCAATATCACTTGGCATATTGGAAGATCATGAGAGGTTCAGATGAAGAAAAACCTTTATCCCATACAATCTCATTCTTCCAGAAGAGCAACTACACCATCTTCCTTTTACAACATCAAATCATTTCTTGAGCAAGTCAAGCATCAATCAATCATCCTGCCTGGGAACTTGTTTCAGCTGCTGACTACTCCTTGCATCAATAAATAATAATTCCGGTGTGCAGCTGAACTGGAGAT